CCTGTAATTTTAAAAAGTGGGACAATCGGGAAGACATCAAAAAAACAAACAAACAAAAAACACAAAATGTATAAATAAAGCTGGCCTATTATTATAATAAGTATCATTGCACATGTAGAAGAATTTGCAAAATGTTATAATTATAGAATTTTAGAAGTGTGATCTCTATCCCTTTAAGCTCTGAAAACATTGAATTGAAGTCCTTTGGAAGTGTTGGAGGCTATCTCCAAACCATGACAGAGACTATCTCTTAAAATGCCCATCATCAACTAAAGATGTAAGTTGGTAAGGTACCCTCCTTGTGTCATGTCTAAAAATTGCCCCAGATGATGGGGTCACTTTTAAGCAAATAGAACTTTTAAATAGTACAGTTTTTAAAGTTGATAAAGGTCAAATGAGACATCAGGTTGCAAGGTTGCCAGCCAAACCCTCCAAGGTTACAGGTTTATTTGACCATGTTGGAGCCACTTTGTTAGTGTCCTTCATTTGGTCTTTTACAGATTGATAAAAATATATATTTGACTTTAAAATGTAAGACATGTCAAAGAATAAATTGCTTTTTTTTTGTAGTTGGATTGCTGTCTTATGATGATTGACATATGACCTACATCTCCTTTTCAACTTTTATTCATATACACTTTAGGTTTTAAAAAATATTATGAAGATGATAAATGATGAATGAATACATAACATTCAGTGCAAAATATTATGTGCATATTCCAGACAAATACATTTAAATGAGATAGGATTACATCCTGCTTTGTATTAGCATAAGAGGCAGAGTTGAATTATCAATGTTCAAGTTCATATCCTGAATTGGATTTGTCAACGTATATTTTTGTTTCCGCCTAACAGAAGTTCCCCTGGAAACTTTGTTATAAACAATGTCATAATATCTGTTCCTTTTGAAACAAATATTGTATACCCTTTATTCTGTAAAGAACAAATACTGTAATATTTGTTCCAATGGAAATAATATTACAGAATATTTCTTCCACTTGGAACTAATATTATGAAGGAACTTCTATTCAATGACACTAGAATATAAAGAATAGAGAATAATGAGTCAAAAATTCTAAAGAATAGAGAAAAATGGACTAAAAATTAAATATATACAGAAATGTAGAACCCCTCATCTACACCCTCTTTATATGATGCTAGACTAAAAAATATCTTTTTCAAAGTCTTTGATTTTGCTTAGCCTAGTCATGTTGAATACATGACCTCTTTTAATGAAGGCATGCACACCTCCCAATTATTATTAAGGAAATTAACAACATTATCAATATTCCCCAAAATACAATAGAAAAAAAAGAGTAAAAAATTTAAAAAATCGATTTTTTTTAGTTTGCAAAATGGCAGTTCGTGACCTTTTTGCACAGAAATCATTATAACTTTTTTATCATGTCTATTAGTCTTTAAAATGCAACATCTCATTTTTTCAATAATTTGCTCTTCTTTTTAAATTTGCTTTTCTCATTCATAATACTATCCATATACTTACCTCAACAGTCTTATATGTTAACATCTTCTAAAAATACATACAGGAACATTCTTCTTCTAAGACTAGGCTAAAAATAATTTGGAGTAAAAAACTTAACCAGTGAATGACATGATCACATATAAAGGTTATTAAAATTGTGTAGTGACAACTACTCACTGCAGACCCTACTTTTCAAAAGGTACATGGATAAGTGAGGGTCTGGATGGGGGTTCTTCATTTCTGTATTCTTTTTAAGACTATTTTTCTCTATTCTTTATAAATTTTGCCTGTTATTCTCTATTCTTTATATTTTAGCACCCCATTATTCTCTTTTTTTTATATTTTTTTGCCTATTTTTCTGCATTCTTTATTTTGGCTTTTTATCCTGCACATTTTGTCCATTATTCTCTATTCTGTAAACCCCATTCACACCCTTGTAAGATTAAGTACTATGCGGCTGGCTGCCTGGCTAAATCTAAATAACATTTGGGGTGTTCAGATTATAGAGATTTTGTTCATTTGCAATAGTAAGCTTCAAATACAATGTAACTGTCAAGACAAATAATTTTCATCATTTAAGTTTCAACATTTTTTCCCATGTATTCATGACATAGTCTTTACATATTACTTGTTAAAAAAATAAACAGACTTCTAAAAGCTGATTTAATACAATAGACTAAACAAATCCCATAGAAAAATGCATAACTTCCTGGCACCTTTGATGAAAATTGTGCATGATATCCTAAAAGAACCTTGAACCGATTTTAAAAAGTTTGGGTTTCTAAGAGCTTTGTAGTTGAAACACAAAAACATTCTATAAAATACCTCAGGACTGCTATTATTTTTAACTGGTATAAAGACCAAATTGGTGTTTTTTTTAACTTAAGCCAGGTTGGATGGTTGTCCAGGTGCAAGATATCTTAAGTTTTTACAAAGAAATAACCTCGATCGGTATGAATTTGGATAATTTTGTTTTATATTAGATCAATGTAAACTGTAAATTTAAAACTGAGACATTGTGTGATTTACAAAAGCTCTGTCAGTCTTGTGGGACAAGGGACAAAGTTTGTAATCAGAACTCTTTAAAAAATAATTTCCAATATAGAAACAATTTTGCTGTTACAGTGTCTGTCTGTCTAATACAGATTTTGAAATAATAAAGAAAAACACAAAATTGCTGAACAGAAAATTGTCATATAAGTGTAATAAGAAGTCTTCTGATAATTATGATAGAATTAAGTAGTCAAATTTTGATTGTGTTTTTGATCTTGGTCAGATTTTCTCTCTCTGTTATCAATACTTTTTTATTTACCCTTATGTGTTTTTTTAACCAAGGTGGTCATGTTACAAGATGTTGGTTGATTTGCAGAAACAAACAAAACACAAACTTTATTCTACAATTCCTTGAGCATCATTCAATCAAGTTTGGTTAAAATTGGTGCAGTAGTTTAAGATTAAGTTGATGGATGCCAATTGATGAGAATTTTAAATGGCACAAAGAGAGGTAAAAAAGTACTTTGTAACCAGCTTTTTACAGAAATATTATTTGTAAAGCCAGCAGTAAGTTTATGAATTGTTCTTTTAAAAAATCTGTCTTTTTTTTTTTGCTTAATAGACTTATTGATGAAGGTTATCATACTGTTGTTGTCCAATCACTGCTTCTGGTATTTTTTGGGGATTAACATCAATTCCTAGTATAAAGTTTGAATAAAATAGAAAATGTTTCTTTCGTTTTTGTTATGCATTCAAATTCTTTTGTTTATTTTGAACATTGCATGTAATCATGTCTTCTTTGAAGTGTTTATGAAATCTCCTACAAACTTGCTTTCAGTAACTACAAGCATTCTTTGAGATGCAGTAGCTTCAAGCAAATTTTTTTTTGGTCATGGAACTTTTTCCAGATATGCTTGTTATGGTCCCACCAATGCTCACTCCACATCACAATCATTCAATTTTTAGCACAGGATAGTTCTTTTGTCAGATATGCTTATCCCTTGTTAATTAACTCCAAATAAAGAGGTAATCAGGAAGGACATGTTATAAAAAATCATATTTTTTCCAGATTATATGGATTGCACCCCTGCCTGAATTGCCTCAGCAGGACATCAAGGGAAAGACAGATGTTAAAGGATGCCACTTGAAAGAGACCCCCTCTCAAAACTCCTTGGATCCGCCACTGATATGGTATTATTTTGTTTATACTTGTCTTTTAATACCTATTGCACTGTTATTCTGAAGTTAAGTGCTTTTCCTGCATTGATTTTTTTTTGTATTTTCTTTTATGTACCTTTTGTTAGCTATAGTCCATTGATCAAAATTAAATAGAGGCTCTAAAGAGCCTGTGTCTATGTGCATATTCAACAAAGGACACTCTCCCAACATGTTAAGACAAAAATAGAATTCATGAAAAAAATCTCTTTTTTGTTGATCTTGTTAATGCTGATAATTTTGTCTGTTTAATTTCTCTCCATCTTCTATAGTTTTTGCCCAAACCACAAAAGAGGGTGAAAAAAAATCCTCATTTAAGGGCAATAACTCCTATAAAGAGTGACAGTCTACTAACTATATTGGCAAAATTTGACTTTTTGGTAGATCATTTTTGTTATTTAAAGTTTTTATATATCCATTATAATTTTTATCATATAAGGCAAAACACAAAAAAAATGGCATAAATCATAAAAGGCAATAACTCTAATAAGGAGTCATCGGACAATTTACTCCATATTGTCTTAATTATAGATCTTGTCTTGCTGATCACTTTCACTTATTTAAATTTCTATCTATCTATCGTCATCAAAGGGCATAACTCTAATAGGAGTTGACTGACGATTTCGACAATGGGGGGACTTATTTGTAGATCTTGTCTTGCTGATCATTTTTGCAATTTAAAATTTTTCTCTATCTATTATAGTTTCAAGATAATAGGCAAAAATGAAAAAATTGATAAAATTTGTTATTTAAGGGCAATAACTCCTATTAGAAGTCGCCTGACAGTTTTGACATAAATGGACAATTGGTAGAGCTGAACACATTTCTGCCTCTGTCAGATTTTCTCTATAACAGTTTTTCAAAATAATAGACAAAACTTGCATTTTTAAGTTTACCCCTATGTTCTATATTTACCCATGTTGGCCTTCTTGGTTGGCAGGCAGGGTCATTGGTCACATTTTTTAAACTAAATGCCCCAATGATGATTGTAGCCAAGTTTGGTTAAATTTGGTCCTGTAGTTTCAGAGAAGATTTTGTAAAAGTTAACAGACAACGAAAACAGGTGCCAAGTGATGAGAAAAGATCACTTAGACCTTTGGGCCAGGTGAGCTAAAAAGGGGGAAAGTTCAGATCTCAAAAATAAACCATTCACATATTCAATGTTTTTAGACTGTGTTGACCTCTAGATGACTTTTGGGTTATATTTGTATTACTGGAGAGCTTTCTCATTGTCCTATACCAAACAACTCCTAATTATTCAACATAATAAGTTGCATAGACAGTAAAAATTTAAACCACAATATAAAGATTTTATTGAGTTTTTATTTTCTTTTTCACAGGCTTCTGTTCTTTACTTCTCTTAGGTTTATCTGTAAGACATTCCTGAATAAACTTTCTGATAACACAATCTATTTCTAGTACTATTTCTTCACTGGGTTTTCCCTTTATTTCAAGTCCATGATTTCCTCCTTCAATCCAGTGCACCTGACATTTGGTCATGTGATCAAGGATAGGTAAAAACAACTCCCTGTCACACATATTATCATCTGTTCCACTAACAAAAAGGACTGGCTTTGTGACATCATAAAGTGGACCATCTCGTAACTGTTTGAAGTCATTAGGTTTATGTAAAGGATATGATAAACATATGACACCTTGTAAAAGATCGGTCATCGTAGGATCACAACAAACACCAACAGCTGCCCTTGATCCCATGGAACGTCCTGAAACCAATTAATGTATACAATTATAATGACTCTGCCCTATTTTATCTAAGCTTATCAAAATATATGTAAATATAATATATAGATGACATTGATTCACATGGCTAATTATATAAGAACGTGATAAAAGATAAATAAATTATACAGCATGTTTATTGTTGACCTATTCTTTCTGAGTTTTGTACAAGAAATAAAAATATATCATTCAGGAACACAGCATGGGAATTGTTTTGTGTACCGGTTATACAAGTTATGATCTAAGGACAAAATTAAAAACATTTGGTTTACTGTAAAGTTATTGACCCTTCAAATATAGGGGTTATACTAAGTTTTGCTAGTTTTAAAAATTAGTTGTAAGATTGCATTAAACAATAAAAAATAATTTCTAAGACTATTCAAAAAATAAGAAGATCTGAAGAGTCAGATTTGCTGACCTAGCAAAACTCCATAGTCATACTCCACATAACTTTTTATAAAATGGTACATGTATCATTTTTTTCATTTTAATAATTCATATGCATTTTATTATATACACAGGTTTCTTGGGGTAATATTAATTTTTCTATCATAATTATGTTGGTATTGTAAAAAATAGTAAATATTATGACAGAATGAAAATTAATCAGCTATATATATGTATATACAAATGTAATCTTGAGTTTACGAAAATAAACATATAAAATCAGGTCATAAGTTTTCTCGTTTGAATTGTTTTACGTTTTTCATTTCTAGGCCTTTTATAGCTTGCTATGCGGTATGGGTTTTGCTCATTGATGAAGGCGATAAGGTGACCTATAGTTGCTAATGTCTACATCTTTTGGTCTCTGGTGGAAAGTAGTCTCATTGGCTATCATACCACATCTTCTTAATTACATATAGTCCTTTTTGTTTCTTTTATATAATAATTTTAAAATGCCAAAAAAATCATTTTGTTATATCACTAACACCTTCCGTTGAAATTTGGAGGATTTTACTTGTACTAAGCTGAACAACATTAAGTTTTTTTACAACTAAAAATTACAATACATGACACTTTAAATCTGTGAAACTTACCTCCAATAAAGCATCCCTTTAGATGAGGATATTTCTCCTTTACATAGTCCTGAAATATACAAACTTCATTTAGCCATGTTAGCTGACAAAACCTTTTCCCTCTTTTACACCAAGTTATGAGTTATCTCCCATCAGAATACAGAACAAAAGTCACTGTTCAGTTTTGAGGTAATTTTTTCTTTGATTAACAAAAGATTTAATTTTTTAAACCATTTTTGTCTGATTCTTGCATTTACTTAATATTTTAAGCAAAACTTGTTAAAATTTAATAATGATGGAATAACTGTTAAAAACAAGTTGTCAAAGTGGCTTAATTGACTGGCTAATCATGGTGCCAAAAAACATATCCATAATGGCATTGCACGATTTTCATATAACAAATACTAATTAACTTTGTTCCTAGACTAAATAATTAAATTATGACTTTTTGTCCTATCAACTTTGTGAGTTTCTGTCCATTTTAATACCAGTATCTTTACACAGTTCAAACATGTATGGCAATTTTGAAAAAAAAACAAAAACTCAAATATTTCAATCCATATATCATGTATACTACAAATAAGAAATACAGTAATAATATTGTACATCTATCAATATGTAGTCTGTTTTATAAGCTGTATGCATGTATGTAGATCCAAAAATGTTTTTGAAATCTGAATAAAATACACTATATATAGTTAAATAAACTTTTTCTTATTGCAGAAATTTCATGAAAGTAGGGGCCTCGGTGGCCGAGTGGTCTAAGTAGTCGAACTACTGTATCACTAGCCAGTCAACACTGATGTTGTCAGTTCGAATCCTGTACGGGGCAAGTGCACTGGACTCCAATCTTAATCGACTAGGATTGTCAGTTTTCCTACCTAAGGTCGGTGGTTCTCTCCAGGCACTCCGGCTTCCTCCACCAATAAAAACTGACTGCCAAGAAATAGCACAATATTGTTGAAAGTGGCTTTGAGCACCAATCAATGATGAAAGTAACGTTTTACCGGTAACTTTCAAATTATACAGAAAATATAAACTTTTAAATGTCCATTTATAATTTTGAAAAAAACTTAAAAATCTTTACCACTATTCCTGTAAACACTTTAATCCTATAGCCAAGGTTCAATCCTTTACAGGTAAAACGTAAGACTAAATATCCTGCTTCAGCTAATTTCTCTGCTATACAAACTAGCTGTTTATGGTTCATGTCCCCTCCAGCACCATGTGTAAGTATAATTCCATAGCAAATCTTAGCAGGATCATTGTAATAAGTCAGACAGGCTTCATACTTCTTCTTTCCCAATTCTATTTCAATACATCTGTAATGCATGGCATATCTTATGTAAATAAAAATGGATTCTGCCCAGCAGTTTTATCTGCTGGTGGTCACAGTGCATTGCAACTTGGAGGTTGGGATTTACTGCTGAAAAACAATTACATTAACTTGAAATTTAGTTGTTATTTGCAATCATTTGAGCACTATAGAAATACACTTAGAAAAAAATATTAGAGCTCACAAATTCATACCTCAACTATTGCATAACAGAAATATGTGTCCATATTAGGAAGAGCCCAATGGCATTAATTATGTATTAAAGATTCCATAATGTTTGACTGAAATCCAGTCAGCAATTTAAGAGAGGTTGCAGATTCAAGGTAACAATCCCTTATAACCTACAGGACAAAGTCCATGACATGCTAATGCTGTGGGATTGATTGATTTTCGGTTGCTTAACATCCAGTGGCAAATATTTCATGCATGTTCAAGACGAGATAAAATTAGGGTATATTGGAAAGGGACAGAAATTTTGCCTTGCAACTGGCCACCTATACGGACCAGTCAATAAGGGTTGTTGCAAGGGATCTTAGCAAGCCGAGAGCGAGGCATCAGATTAAATGTTCCCATTCTGACCAGACAGTAATGCTGTGGGAAACTCAAAGTTCTTAATCAACTAATTGAAGTTTCTGAGTATGTTTCTTGCGCAAATGTTGGAATGTCACTGTATATTTTCGGTTCCTGCTTCATGTACAGCAGCAAAGCCTATGATTTGACGACTGGCAGTAAACATATTTGATTTCAGTAGAAGTGAATACTTTTTGTCGAAGAATAAAAATATATCACCTATCATAAAGCAGCTTTCTCTCAACTTGGTTTCCCGCCATATTTCTTCTTTGTGAAAAGTCTCGATAACTCCCGAATGTACTTAACTGGTATCGATATTTTTTTGCTAGCTCTCTGATTGGAACAGAATCCACGTGACAGAATCATAATCATGTGATGTTATTGCTGTAAACAAAAAGAAAGTACAACAGTCAGTTTACATTTTTACAACTAGAAGCGACAAGAATGCATGTTTTTCTGGTTTGTGTTTGTTTGACAGGGATAGTCCTTGGCATACCACATAATTTTGAACTTCCTAAACTGAAAGACGACGGAGTTCACTGGGCTTTGTTAGTTGCAGGCTCAAATGGATGGATGAACTACAGACACCAGGTGAGACGCAAATTGAAAGTTTCTAAATTTTCAATGAAATCTACTGTTTTTCTTTTTCCTCAAGGTTCTATTTATGTTTATATTTAGAATTTCATTGCTATAAGATTTTGAAGGCCACATGTACTATTTTTTAATGAATTTTAAAAAGGCCTTTTAAAAATGCTTAAATTTATAATTAACTCTGCTGTCTGATAATAATTTATGCTTCATATAATTTATAAAAAGTCTGTGAATTGTAATTAATAAGTAAAATTAGTATGTACATATACAGTTGATGTGCACTTGTTCAAGATGTTGGCATTGATGTCTATAGGGACATGAGGGATATAAATATAAGTTCATAATGGTTAGCAGTACGTACAGTTCTGAGAGTGTAATATATTTGAGGTTTTTTTTTGCCCCCCCCCCCCCCCCCCCCCTTTCTTTTTGATTAATGAAAATGAATTATCATATCTATATATTTTAACAACAAGTGCTATCTTTTTTTAACAAAGTAATAATTGATCCATTCTTGTCAAGATGTATCTTAATTATGCTTAATTACTTGATTAAATGAAAAGTTATCTTTAAAGTATAATTTTACACACCTTACACTGATAATTTTATCGATATTAAATTAGACAGGATACTTTAGAAGATTATTTTATCTATAACAATTTCTTTCTTGGCTCATGTCATACTCATGACTTGGCATGTGATTAAATGAAAGTACATGGAATATGTCATGTGATCAAAATGTGATTTAATAAATTTATTCATCATGTTCATGAACGATTTTAAAGAATCTACATCCTGATTTAGTCATATGCTTGAGCTTAGAATAAATGTTACCATTTAATTGGACAAAAAATATAAATATGTTGAGTTATTAAAATATGAATATATAGAGATGTGGGGATACATGTGAATGAGTCAGAAACCCAACAGCACAAGTATTACATGAATATATATACACAAAAGTTTTGATATACATTGTACAAGTATTAATTAACTTTTAATTATTTATACTAACAGTAAACACCATTGTCCTGTTTTTCATAATCCTTAGGCTATTATTAAAATTCAAAGCAACAGATGCTAGTGCAATATTTTCTGTCATATGACTTTATCTATGATCTAAATACCCAAGGCAAATTCATACTTTTAGAGTAACATGCCTATGAATCAACAGACCAGTGCTACAGACATGACAGATGTGCAAAAAAAATGTTTAGAAGATAGCAAAATACATTGAATGCATGTATGGATAAAACTATTTGTCAAACGACAATACAAGTTTTCTTTGATACAGCTTTAAATCATGTTAATCTTTTTATTGTTTGACTTCTAGAAGTTGTTGGGTTGATGTCTGGTAACATATACCCCATGATTTCTCCTATTCATTCACATGAACTTCATGTACACACAATGATGTATATAAAGATGTAATTTTATGAATTTCATGTATCTTGAATAAAATTACAACATATATGCTAATTAACAACATATGCTCTTTAAATGAAATACACTGTATAGTAGTACAATAGATCCTGTTAACCCTGAACCCTTAGTGTAAATTTGAAAATTGTATATCGCATGTTACACATGATAGAGTAAGGACATTTAGTACATGTAAAAGTTATTTATCTTGTACATGTATTTTCTTTTATGTATCTATTCTTATTTGTTTTAAAAAAATTAATAAGGGCAGATGAAATTAAAAAAAAAAAAACAAGTTTTAATTACCCAAGTTCAATTAATATGTCGGTCTCAGACAAAGAACCTATCTAGGTGTTGTCTTGAATTGTAATTTATTGGGTTGCATTCTTATTAATGTATGCAAATGAATGTACCTACATCATCTTTTATGCAGATTCTCTCGTATTAATTTCTTATGGAAACAAAGTAAAAATAAAAGATGTCTTTTCATGGAATATTTTTGTGATTAGTAGTGACAAAGTCAAATACAATGTACTTTTAAAAGGTGTATATATAGAGAATATTATATGGCTTTTTCAATATCACATCCGTATCAACCCGAGACACCAATATAATCCCAAGAGCTCTGCTCGAGGGATTTTATTGGTTGAGGGTTGATACAGTGTGTGATATTTAAAAAGCCATATCATATACACTTTATTGTATATCTCAAGTAGATGTTTTTTCATGTGACGTTTGCAACGGTGACTGATGTCGATGACGTGATGTCATACAGATTAAGGGCGTGATAAAGCCTTTGCAACCGTGACTGATATCGATGTCATCATGGATGGCTGATACAGCATGATGCCATTGATCGTATTACACATACAATAATAAAAACCAAACACATATTTATCAAAAATATATGTCAGATACCAATAGTCTATTGGACATACGATGTCAACTATAAACCCTTGCTAACACTACAGAGCTGATTAGGGGTACACATATATGTCATTCAAGGGAATCAAATATAAATACATAATTATATATATTGACAATTTAAATAGAGCTATTTTTAGGAGCTCTGAGCTTTGAAAGTTAAAATACACCTAGTCTATAATGATTTGAGTAACTTAAAAAAAATGAGACTTACTGTGGACTAAATTCAGCTTCAGCAGGTTTCTGTTCGAGAATTTGAAGTTTATTTGAATTGTACATGTATTTAGAAAATTTCACATGCATCTATGATTGTGATTTAACTTTTTAACCACAACCAAATTCCAGGTTCAGGAAATTTTCGAATTCTATACAATTAAAACTATTAAAGTTTGAAATGTCAGTTTGTATTTTTGGGAAACCTTATAATCTTGTTGCAATTTTGACATTTGTGTAACATTGATGAAAAATGATGAAAGAAAGTTTATGGAATGTAGTGTCCCAGTGGCATTATATTAAAGCCTGGCTTGCTGCTTTGTGAAAATTTCCCCAATTTCCTGTGAAGAAAAAAAATTCAAGCCAAGTCTGAAGCTGCTGGTCAGCTGGTGAAAAATTTTCAAGCCGTGGCTAATATGTTTTAAACAATTTGAAAGCTTGAGGAGATTAGTAAATACATATATTTGTTTTAGGCTGATGTTTGCCATGCTTATCAAGTATTGAAGAATCATGGATTACCAGATGAGAGGATTATTGTTATGATGGTTGATGATATAGCCAACAATAGAGAGTAAGACGTTTAATGATGTACTGTCAAATGCAGATTAACATGCTGTATTGGCAATAATGGCTAAAATATGCCAGGCCAACCTTAAAAAATTCTTTGTTTGAAGATGCCTACCCATGCCTATTAGGGTTGGGTAGGTAGGTAGGTATTTTTTTTTTTTTTTTTGGCCAACAACATAAGTTACATGTTTTAGACAAGAAGACGACGTAAGAGCAGGAAATAAACTTAAGAAAAAATTTGAGATCATTTGTGTCATAAAATTATTCGGGTAGGCTGATTTTTAGGTGGGTAGGTAGGCAACATCAAACAATCATAATTTTATTTTTGGCCCCATGCTGTTTAACAATCTCATTATATCCTGCAGACCTTCATTATTATCGAATGATTTAATGATTGTTACTTGTTAAACATATATACAGTGATTAATATTTCATGAATATTCAGGACAAGAAAAAATTAACAATTAATACACAATGTACAATAGTTTGATTTTTGCAAGGTACATGTAGGTCTACAAGATGAAAGGCAGAAAGTTTGGACTGCCACCAGAAAAAAATGTAGGATAATGGGGCAGAAATTTAGCCTTGCAACAGGCCATCTATGGGACCTTCACAGAGTTGTTGTAAGGTTTCCTAAGTGTGCAGATTTTGTTGCAACCACCCATTCTGACTGTACGTGACTGGTGTATAAATCCAGCACAGCCAAACAGACGCCCAACTTTAGCATGCGAGTTAAAAGCAATACAGGAGAATTCCACTTAGGAATGACCTTATTGTTATCACTCTTCCTCAGGTGTCATATGTTTCCCTGTGAATCAAGGTTATTGCTGGAGATTGATGGTAATAATACTAGGGTTGATGAGCTTTCATATTCATTGCCTGCATATACATGTATGGAATATAAAAAGAGATGTTTCAAATTCGATAAATTATTCACTACCTCCAGCTTCCCTGTGAAAACTCACCAATAGAGTTGCTTGCAGTTTTTTATACGACCGCAAAAAAAATTTTGTGGTCGTATATTGGTATGACGTTGGCGTCGTCGTCGTCGTCGTCGTCCGGCGTCGTCGTCGTCCGAATACACATTAGTTTTCGCACTCTAACTTTAGTTTGAGTGAATGGATCTCAATGAAATTTTACCATAAGGTTCAATACCACAAAAGGAAGGTGGGGATTGATTTTGGGGGTTGTGGTACTAACAGTTAAGGAATTAGGGGCCAAAAGGGGCCAAAAATAAGCATTTTTGTAACTTCCAGACATAACTTGTGTGTAAATGTATGGATCTCTCTGACATTGTACCACAAGGTTCCATATCACAAAGGGAATGCTGGGATTGATTTTGGGGGTAATTGCCTCCAAATTTTAGGAATTAGGGGCCAAAAAGGGGCAAAAAACAAGCATTTTTCTAGTTTCATGACAATATCTTGTTTGTAAGTGTATGGATCTTTATGAAATTGTACTACAAGGTTCCATATCACAAAGGGAATACTGGGATTGATTTTTGGGGTAATTTCCTCCAAATTTTAGGAATTAGGGGCCAAAAAGGGGCAAAAAACAAGCATTTTTCTAGTTTCATGACAATAACTTGTTTGTAAGTGTATGGATCTTTATGAAATTGTACTACAAGGTTCCATATCACAAAGGGAAGGCTGGGATTGATTTTGGGGGTTTTCCCTCAAAATTTTAGTAATTAGGGGCCATAAAAGGGCAAAAAAAACATGCATTTTTCTAGTTTCAGGACAATAACTTGTGTGTAAGTGTATGGATCTTTATGAAATTGTACTGCAAGGTTCCATATCACAAAGGGAAAGCTGGAATTGAGTTTGGGGGTAATTGCCCTAAACGTTTAGGAATTTGGGGCCAAAAAGGGGCCAAAAAACAAGCATTTTTCTAGTTTCCAGACAATAACTTGTGTTCAAGTGTATGAATCTCTCTGAAATTGTACTGCAAGGTACCATACCACAAAGGGAAAGCTGGGATAGAGTTTGGGGGTGATGAATCATAAGGGGGTTCAAAAAATTGGGGGGGGGGGATTTTTTTTCCCTTTTTTTTCTTTTCCATTTTAAATTGGTTATTTCTGATTTATATATAAAAGCAAATAATAATGATATGGTTTGAATAGGCATACATGTGAACCTCCCGACGGGAGTACAATAATCCCGTTTTCAGGGGTCTCCTCCCGACCTCCCGTTGAAGAGGAAAAAATCCCGTGTATGAAATTTTTCATGAATGAAAAATTTCTGCCCAACATATCATCTCATGCATCTGGTGTAACTGACATTACCTGAAGTTATATTTTACCTGTAAATCAATTAACATGCATAATTATATGGCTTCACTTGTCAGCTTTGGTGTCAAACATACAGGTAATCAACGATTTTTACCTCAGGCTAACTGCCGTTGTGTAACAAAAACTGTGTATTTATTGGGTTACTTCCCTTGATTTATCCTGTTTTAAGTTACTTTCCTTTTCATAATGAAAATTTTTAAAAGAATATAAATAAAATATAAATTGAACAAATAATCATAAAAGGATGGTTATTAAATGATTTTAAATGTCTTAGGACAAATAAAAAAATAATAATTTGAAAATTATTTGAGGATTCTATACTTCCTTTCAAGGCTTAAATTGAAATTTATATAATAATTATGACCCTAAATTTACAGATAAAATGATTTTCTGAGTTTGCAAATAAAAACTATTTGCAAGAGAAAAAAAAAAATAAATAAAAACTATTTGCAGATAGCTAAACAAATGTTCTGGTTGCAATGATTGTTTTATAGAATATGAAGTAAAAAATTTAAAGAACATACTGGAAAAAAACAATGTTAGATTGAACATGTAGAATATAAAGATGGAGAAACTTTATAAGTACAAGGGTACTATAAACATAATAAATTGGATGGAAAGTTGAAGAAAACACACTTTAAAAGACCATTTTTACAGCACACGGTTACATTTACAACAAAATTAATGTCGATTAAAAACCTCCTGATCTGAGTTTCACAGTCCATCACATGTATGAATAGGTAAATTGAAAATTTTTAAGTTCTTAGACCACTTTCATTCTGTGTCAGAAACCTATGCTGTGTCAAATATTTAATTACAATCCAAATTCAGTGCTGTATCAAGCTTGAATGTTGTGTCCATACTTGCCCCAACTGTTCAGGGTTCGACCTCTGCGGTCGTATCAAGCTGCGCCCCAGCGGAGCATTTTATTCTCCTCTATTCTGTACATCCATGTGTTTGTCTGTCATAGCAATGTCAGTATGGCATTTTATAGATGTGATATAAATATAAATGGATGTATATGTTAGCGGCAATAAGTGAAATTAGGCATAAAGCTTAAATCCTAGGCTAACGCCTAGGCAGTAAGTCTATTGCCTAAATAATGTTAGGCATTACTCTTAAATCCTAAGTTTAAATCCTGAAAATAATGTCCAGGTATTAATGTTAATGCCTAAAATGAAAATGAGAGAAACTAAATGGAAATTTATTCAAAGTTAAAATACATTTTATACATAATAAAATAATAAGAACTTTGAATGTCAATTACATGAAATAAAATCATAATTAGATATTGATGTAGTAACTCTTTGAATAAACCTCTTAAAATATATGTAAACTTGTTGGATAGTTGTCTTATTGGTAATCGTACTACATCTCCTTATTTTTATATTGATAGAAAATTGTATTGAAATTTATTTGTTACCAATTGGTGCGGAGCTACGGCACAGACTATTTCACAGTTTTAATTTTTTCTAGCATTTGTACCTGGTGATCATCCAATACTTTTGTGTAGAGCAGAATTCTTTTGTATATGAACGAATTTGATTCCAATTGACCACTGTTAAGTCTTTGATCCTCATCCATGCAGTAAGCATGTCATGAATATTTCCGCTTGACCACTCAATACTACCCTGTGATTGGAGATGTATTGGCTTCCAGTGAACAATAACTAGTTCTGGCCACATTAGCATTAATTTAGATATAACCTTAGCTGTAATTCACGACCTTTGTCTCTTTGCTGTTTATGTGACACACTAAATATTGTGAAAACATAAACTAAATTAGAAGCCACCTTTGAAGCACTTTTTGACGTAAGAGCTCTAGTAATAAAACTAGGTGATCTTGGTACACCATAACGAAAATATAGTTTTCATCTTACTTTGATTGGAAATCAATTAAATCAACCTGTCCTAGCTCTTCTGCAAAACTCTTTGGATAAAACGGTGTTTAGTACTACTCCCTTCCCTATGCACATTTTATCATGTTACAATTTTCACAAAATGGAAGAAATAGTACAATGGAATCATGGAAAATGTTTGCAAAGCCATTACTAGGTTGTTTAATTCTACGGTCAATGATAATAATAGGCGTTTTGACATATTTCTTTATGTGTTTTTCCCAAAATAGCATACAGTTCCTCTAAAAAAAAACATAAACTTTGAAATTTCCCTCACCATTCTCTTTTACTTTAGTTACCAGTCTTTCAAACCTCCAGTGGTAAAAAATATCATACAATTCTAAATTACAATTTTCTATAGTTGCCTTATTCTCTGATTTTGAAAGTTTAATCTTTGCCAAATGATCATTGTACTTTTGCCTTGGGTATATGATCTTTGTTTTCCCTCACTCACTCAAATTTATATTCCGCAAAGATTCAAGAAATTTGTTGTTGCTTCAATGCTAATAATCCAAATTAAGAAGTGAAGAGACAAGATGAGTATTTAAGAAAATTTACATATCCAATAAAACAGATTGAAAGATGATGTGAATGGCAAAATTTCATATCTTCAGTTGTCTATTTTTGACCAGCTCAAACTGGCTTGGCCATTGAAGAGCAATTACACAAAGAAATACGAGTAAGTTCTGTTTTGAATACGAAATTAAAATTACTAAAAATTGAAGATCTTTTAAATCAGTTTATATTAATTTCTGGAATATAATTTTCACAATATTATTCTTCAAGAAGTAGTTCACCGAATAAACATGTATTTGGAAGATAAACAAAAATCCCAAAATTTGCTTATTGCCTGTAATGATGTTTGGCAGTAGGTTGAATTATGAATCATCAGATTTCAGGAAATAAGCCTAATGCCTGGAAATTTCAGGCAATAACTTAATGCCTAGGCGTTAGCTTATTGCCTAGGATTTAAGCTTAATGCCTAATTTCACTTATTGCCGCTAACATATACATCAAATACAACAAAATATGACTTACCTCAGAAAACACAAGTTCAGGTAAATAAAAAAATGCAAACATTTCGAGATATTTGTCTATAATGGAATTGAATATTTTAAGCATGACATTTAAGTATTCATTTTGCTGGAATTTGCTATAGTATATGTTCTACAAGGTAAAAGAAAAATATTACAGGTACATATTGGGATATTTAAAAAAAAAAACATATTTCTATATAAATAAAACTCTCTTAAATTTTTTCTTCAGAAATCCACAACCAGGAGTTATCATTAACCAGCCAGATGGACCTGATGTTTACCAAGGAGTTCCAAAAGACTATACAGGATTAAAGGTAGGTTATTGATCAGATGTTTACTGATGAGTTCCAAAAGACTAGAAACAAGATTAAAGATAGCCCGGGATCCTGGCTCTCTGCCATGCAGAAGAGCCAGGCAGATTACAACATGTATTTGTTTATTGGATGTTAAAATGATGCATTGTGGGATAGAATCATTTCTTGACACATGGTGGGAAATATTTATTAAAATTTATTTTTAACATCAAATAATGCAAATTCCAGTAAATATACAGCAATAATCATCCAAACATTAGTGATTTACATTGTAAATCACCAGTTAATTAATGATTCAATTTATATATTCATTGTTTACGGTATATAACACACACATGTGCAATTATTCAGTCCTGTTTAGTGCTGAAAAGTGGTCACATGGATTGCATTACACCTGGCCTTACTGACGCGAAGTAAAGGTTTGGCTAGGATCCCAGGCTAGATTAAAGATAGCTTATTGTCCCCCACATAACGCGTTGCAGGGGACATGGAAATACTGGGCGACCGTCCGTCCGTGTATCCATTCATCTGTCCGTCTGGTCTTGTTAGCGCTCTCACATATATGTACAATTCTTGCCAGATTTTTATAAAAATTATGATATAGGATAATATCAGCAATATCTTGGACAAGTTTTATAATGGTGGACAATCAACTTTTTTTAAAAGAGTTATGCCTCTTGGAAATATTAAATTTATGGAAAATGACCTCATTAGTGCTCTCACAGGTACAATTTTAGCCAGATTTTTATAAAACTTATACTATAGCTTTATATCAGCAATATCTTGGACAAGTTTTATAATGGTGGACGATCAACTTTTTAAAAGAGTTATGCCCCTTGGAAATATAAAATATGTGCAACACGGGAGACATTGGAACTCTGTTCTTTTATTGATAAGGCTTTGTCAAAAACTTTTATTGTTGTCTGCAGAACACCAATAGAGTATGGCATTTTCATGCATGTGATCATGATTGCCAAATTACTTTTAAAAAAAAAAATGTTTTGAAAAGCTAAGATGCAAATGAGTGTAAATAATGAAAAGAACGCTTTATAAATTTTATGCCTTCAAAGCGTTTTTCTAGATATACTTTCATCAGGAATGCTCAAAGCCAAATATTTTAAAGCCAAGGATGTATATAAGTACTGAAACACACTAAGAGCTATATGACCAAAAGGAACCTAATTTATAAATAACTGGTTATAAGGACAATGAAATCTGAAAAACGAATTAATGAGTGTTAGAAGGCATTGTTTCTTTATTGGATGGTAAAAGTGTTTGGACTTCTTTTCTGTAACTACAGCATGAAAAAATGGAGATGTGGTGCTATTGCTAATTGGGAGCCTTTTTTTTAAACACTATTTAGTGTTATCTTACATTACCCTGTGTTGTTATGCCCCATTTAGGATAATATATGTGGCATTTTGTTTTCTAGTCTGTGTATGAGTTTGTCCATTCCTTCATCTGTTGTCACATCTTGTATGAGGTTAAAGTTTTGGTTTAAGGTAGTTTATCATGACATTGTGGTCACATCAACTTGAAACTTAGCACAGTGTTAATTATGATGTGAACCTAATAAAACATTTGCTAAATTAGGATTTTGACCCAGATTTTGTAGTTACTGAACATGGAAATAAGATAGACGTGCGAGTGGGGCATAATATCCTATGGACACATATTCTTATTTGTCTATAATACCAGTATAATGTATTATAAAGTGAAGATTTTTTTCTGAAAATAAATGAGGGTCTGGACTCTGGATGGGGTTTACAGAATAGAGAATAATGTGCAAAAAGTTCAGAATAAATGGCTAAAAAAATAAAGAATAGAGAAAAATACGCCAAAAAATTAAGAATAGAGAATAATTTGGTGCTAAAATATAAGGAATAAAGAATAATGGGCAAAATGTTTAAAGAATAGAGAAAAACGGCTTTAAAAAATTAAAGAATACAGAAGTGAAGGACCCTCATATATTACATAATTTTATTTTTAGGATGTCACTCCAGAAGTATTCCTAGATGTATTACAAGGTATTAGCAAAAAGGTGAAGGGTAAAGGTAGTGGCAAAGTTATAAACAGGTAATTATGAGTATTGGTAAAAATAGCATCTAACTGCCTACATTCTTATTTCCTCTGTATTTGAGTATTAGAACTTAATAATAAATTTTTGAGATGATTGTTGAAATGTGATTCAAGGCAATGACAAATTGATTTTTGCTTTTAACTCTTTTTATATGAAATCTGATATAGTGCAAATAATATATAATCTTGTGATTTGAAAGTTCTTGCAAAGTCTCTCTGACACCATTTTTGTTTCAGAAAAAAACCAAATAAGAACTGAGAATTCAATTGGTTTTAAGATGAATCAAAATGAAACAAATTTATAAGTGTAAATATGAAAAAATGGTAGAATGTTTAAAAAGGTTTATTTTAACTTTTCTTTATTTTAATGTTTGTTAGCATCAGTCAATGAAACTTATTATTTGCAGCTTGTTGATTATTTGCACGATTGATAGCTACAATGCAAAGCTAAGAGACCAATTTCAAATATCAAAATGAAATACTGTTGTTTCCATTCTTATGTTCATATATTGCTCTACTGACATAAATTATAGAATTAGTCCTAAGAGATTGACATTACTGTCCAATTTAAATTTAGGATTATGAAAGATTTCTTATAGAAGGTTTAATGGACATCTTAAATAAAAAGATGTGTAGAAGGAAAACAAATTTTATATGATTTTTTTTTCAGTGGACCAAATGATCATATCTTTGTAAATTTTGTCGACCATGGAGCACCAAACCTGATTGCTTTTGGACAAAAATTTGTAAGTAATAATAATTATATTAATTCATTTGAACCTTTTGCTTTCAGACATTTAAAATGATTTTTCAAATGTCAAAAGTTTGAGAAAAAAAATTTAAAGGACATGTTATAAATATTTTTTTCTGACCTGATAAGAAAGTTTGCTAAACATGCATTTAAAGTCATAGAGGACATTTTAAATTAACTATCCATAATGGTCACTGTAGATTCATCTATTTGTATGGGCATAATTTTTTTGTGTTTTGAGAAAAACAGGTACTTTTGTGGAGATTGATTTCCAGGTTTTGACAAATTCTGCACATAAATCCTTTAGGAAATTTATATGTGTATTTTGTTGGACACTTAATTTTGTGGTTCACATATTATCATGAATTAAAGAAAGTCTCATGAATAATAATTAATGCATAGTATAAAGGTTACCATAATCTTAATTTCATTTTCAGCTCCATAGTAAAGATCTGATGAAAGTTTTAAAAGAAATGCATCAAGAACAGAAATTTGCAAAGGTAATACAGTATTATTTAGAACTAAAACTGTTTTCTTGTTCATGTTGTAACATTTTAACCTATTTCACATGTGCTATTGTTGAATAACTCTCTGATATAAGGAGATTGTTTTCTGAATTCTAATCTGTAGATATCTCTTTAAAGTGTTTTTAAAAACATAAACAACAAGATTTGAATTGTGTTAAGTACAAGACAATATTATTAGTTACATAGTGTGCTAGTGACCTAATACGGTATATATGGGGTCAGTAAATTCCATATGGGGTGAGAGCAAAGCTCAAATTCCCATATGGAATTTACTGACCCCATATATACCGTATTACGTCACTAGCACACTATGTAAGGAATTTATCTTACCGACTATCTTAACATGTGGTATTTAGACTAGTGACCTATCACAGACAGCAAGTCTTCAATACCGTTATCATTAAGAAACTACTTCCATTGGTCATACAAAAACAAATGCCAACAATAATAACTTGTTAGCTTTAAATGTATTTTATGAATTTGTTTCAATCTTTCATCATCAATTTCTTTGTCTGTTAAAACATTTAAGATTTTTTCTCAGTACCGTTTTGTTTTCATAAAGGGATGTAACACCACTACAAAATGTGTATTAAAATAAGCCCCCCCTACTAACCTGATATGGAATATACACGGTCTCCACGCGGTTGCTTTTAACCAATCATATTCCTAGAAATGTATAGGAGGTAAGATAATATTAGTTACACAGTGTACTAGTGACCTAATACGATATATATGGGGTCAGTAAATTCCATATGGGGTAAGATTTTTTTTCGTTCTCACCCCATCTGGAATTTACTGACACCATATATATTGTATTAGGTCACTAGCACACTGTAACGAATTTATCTCACCGACTATCTTAACATGTGTCATTTAGACTAGTGGCCTATCAAAGTGATCAAGTCTTCAATATAATACTTCCAATGGTCTCTACAAAAACAAATGCCAACAATAACAACTTGTTAGCTTTTAATGTGTTTTTATGCCCCCACCGTAGCGGAGGGGGCATTAAGTTTTACCCTTGTCCGTCTGTACATACGTCCATCCATATGTCCTTACGTCCCAAAGTTGGTTTCTGTTCTCTAACTTTAGTTTGCCTCAACCAAATGTTATGAAACTTATACACAATACTTATTACCATAAAACACAGATCAACTTTGAAATTGGGTGCCGTCACGATAACGGTTCTTGAGTTATGCCCCTTTATAAACATAAAAATTCCTGAATTTTTCGTTTCCGTTCTCTTAACTTTAGTTTGCCTCAATCAAATGTTATGAAACTTGTACACAATGCTTATTACCACAAAACTCAGATCAAGTACAAATTTGGGTAGCGTCACTTTTACTGCTCTTCAGTTATGTCCCTTGATATCTTTATATGATATGCAAGCGTGGGCATCATCTGTGTCCCATGGACACATTCCACATTTATCTTCATTTATTTCAATCGTTCATCATCAATTTCTCCATCAGTTGTGCGGGCGAAACGTTTCAGATTTTTCCTCAACACCGTGTTGTTTTTATAAAGGACATAACACCACTATTTACTGTGTATTAAAATAAACCACCCCATATTAAATATACACAGTCTCCACGCGGTCACTTTTAACCAATGATATTCCTAGAAATGCATTGGAGGTAAGATAATAAGCTATATTTCAATTTGTATACATGTATATCAATGTGACTTAGAAATTTTTCTTTTTCATTTTTAGCTTGTGTTTTACCTGGAATCTTGTGAATCTGGATCTATGTTTAAAACACTTCTACCCAAAGATATAAACAGTAAGTGATTCTCACACTGTTAAAGAAACAAATCAAACAATATAAGCATACATCTTTGTAAGTCTATGAAAAATAAAAGTAGGTTCAAATTTATATATCAAAACTCCATCGACAAAACATCAACCATGATAAAAGACAGACAATCAAATGTCAGATTCTGAATTTGGAAAAAATTGAAAATGTTCTCCCTTTTTCATGCTTTTGCAAGAATTATTTCTTGTCTGGGAGGTATCTTTTATAGGATTGTATTGTGGATATTATTATATTTAACTACTGTGGACATGCTTAACATTTATTGCAATCTTTTATATATTAATGAAGACTACATGTTTTTAACATTGAATAACTAAGTCTTCAAAAGCGCAAGCAGTTCACTCTCACAGGGGTGTATCTTGAAACTTTTGAAATGGGGTCTTTGTGTTATATATTTGACCAAAACCTGTAGTATTAAATATGTTGGTCTTGGGTTATTTTTCAGTCCTTGCATTGTCAGCATCTAATTCATCACAGTCATCTTATGCCTGTTATTTTGACAAGAAGAGGAAAACTTATTTGGGAGATGTGTTTAGTGTTATGTGGCTGCAGGATTCTGACAAGGTAATATTTCACAGGGGATGTATTGTTATGGCCCAACAACAAAGTTGTCGGGGCCATATAGTTTTACCCTTATCCGTCATTCTGTCATTCTGTCATTCCGTCTTTCTGCAACGAACAGTTATACAGACTTTTTTCTAAATGCCTTTACATATTGAGCTGATTTTTAGAATGTGAATCTACTATGATGAGTTACAAATCGAGTTTATGTTTGGTTCCACTCTCCTGATTTTTGACAAAACTGCGGGCTTTGGACTTTGAAAATTTTGTAAAAATAGCAGTTATACAGACTTTTGTAAAAAAAGCCTTCACATATTGAGCTGAATTTTAGTATGTGAATCTACTATGATGAGTTATAGATCGAGTTTAAGTTTGGTTCTGCTCCATTGATTTTGCTAAAATTACAGGCTTTGGAATTTGAACATTTCATGAAAATCAGTTATACAGACTTTTTTTCTAAACTCCTTTACATATTGAGCTGATTTTTAGTATGTGAGTCTACTATGATGAGGTACAGATCGAGTTTATGTCTGATTCCACTCCATTGATTTTTGCTGAAATTACGGGCTTTGGATTTTTTTGGAAAATTTTGTGAAAACAGTTATACGGACTTCTCAAATTTCCATTCCTAAAAGTGGCTTCAAGCTTTTTTTGCAAGCGGGGCTATTTCTGTCGTTCTGACACATCAAGTTTAAATTTATTTTTCACTTCTGAACTTGCTCATCCAAAGTTAAACCCTATTTATAAAATTTAAAGGAAATTTGCTCTTGTCAATTAAATGAAATTATATTCAACTATGCTTGGTTAAACAATGAAATTGCAAAGTATAACCATGCTCAGTTAGCATAGTATACATATAATAAATTTGATTTAGTTTTCTTGTATGAATTTGCCTTTGATCATGAGTTTTCTATTTTCTATTGCTCACTTAGAATCAAATTTTTTTTTAAGGGGTTATCATGCAAAATATGATGGAGCTAAAAGGAAATCCACTTTTAGCAACCCTTGAATGCTAACAATTTTACTTTTTTTAAACCAGATGATTTAAAATGTAATTTTGGCCTGAAACATAAAGGTTTTCAGCAGATATCCTATTTAAATTTTACATATAGAAATAATCCTATTTTGTCAATTGTAGGAAAATTTAAACTCTGAAACAATCCAGGATCAGTTTAAAATCACAAAGAAGAAGACAAACACAAGTCATGTGATGGAATTTGGAGATAAGGTTAGTTAAGTTGAATTGTATATCCTGGTTACTGGATACTTTCCAATCTGATTTTAAGGATCTGACAACATTCCGTTTTACTTCCTGTTCTGGTTATTACTACATCAGCCAATGAAAGGTTGAAAATTGAAGGTGTGTATGAATCCAAAAAAAACAGAGGATCTAGAAAGGTTGTTAAAACAGAAAGTAGAATGGAGTGTGTGAGATCCATGTAGACAAAGCTTACACACAGGATCTGTGATTTAATCAGATTGGGATACATCCACACTTGTGAGATTTTGGCTACTGATTTTGATTTATAGCCAAAATAAAATAAAATAAATTTTATACAATACAATGATTTTGCTGCTGATTTTAATTACCTGCCAAAATAAAATGAACAATTTTATGTTAAGTTCTAACCATTGCTAATGATGGTTGTATTTTGTGGTCATGTTGCAGCTGTTTATTCATATTGTATTATAAACTGAATATTTTTATTTCCATATTTCAGTCAATTGGTAAAATGACAGTTGCTGAATTCCAAGGAAAGCAGCAAGCTAACAACATTGTATTTCCAGCACCTGATCCAACTGTAAGTCAGATTACTTAACATTGTTTTTATAATTAGTTGAATATGAAAAGCTGTACAATGATAATGATGGATGTTACAAACTTCATATAATACACAGCCTGAAGGAAGAAATCTGCTTTGTATACGACCGCAAAAAAATTTTTGTGGTCGTATATTGGTATGACGTTGGCGTCGTCGTCGTCGTCGTCCGGCGTCGTCGTCCGAATACACATTAGTTTTCGCACTCTAACTTTAGTTTAAGTGAATGGATCTCATTGAAATTTTACCATAAGGTTCAATACCACAAAAGGAAGGTGGGGATTGATTTTGGGGGTTATGGTACTAACAGTTAAGGAATTAGGGGCCAAAAGGGGCCAAAAATAAGCATTTTTGTAACTTCCAGACATAACTTGTGTGTAAGTGTATGGATCTCTCTGACATTGTACCACAAGGTTCCATATCACAAAGGGAATGCTGGGATTGATTTTGGGGGTAATTGTCTCCAAATTTTAGGAATTAGGGGCCAAAAAGGGGCAAAAAACAAGCATTTTTCTAGTTTCATGACAATAACTTGTTTGTAAGTGTATGGATCTTTATGAAATTGTACTACAAGGTTCCATATCACAAAGGGAATACTGGGATTGATTTTTGGGGTAATTTCCTCCAAATATTAGGAATTAGGGGCCAAAAAGGGGCAAAAAACAAGCATTTTTCTAGTTTCATGACAATAACTTGTTTGTAAGTGTATGGATCTTTATGAAATTGTACTACAAGGTTCCATATCACAAAGGGAAGGCTGGGATTGATTTTGGGGGTTTTCCCTCAAAATTTTAGTAATTAGGGGCCATAAAAGGGCAAAAAAAACATGCATTTTTCTAGTTTCAGGACAATAACTTGTGTGTAAGTGTATGGATCTTTATGAAATTGTACTGCAAGGTTCCATATCACAAAGGGAAAGCTGGAATTGAGTTTGGGGGTAATTGCCCTTAACGTTTAGGAATTTGGGGCCAAAAAGGGGCCAAAAAACAAGCATTTTTCTAGTTTCCAGACAATAACTTGTGTTCAAGTGTATGAATCTCTCTGAAATTGTACTGCAAGGTACCATACCACAAAGGGAAAGCTGGGATTGAGTTTGGGGGCGATGAATCATAAGGGGGTTCAAAAAATTGGGGGGGGGGATTTTTTTTTCCCTTTTTTTTCTTTAACATTTTCCATTTTAAATTGGTTATTTCTGATTTATATATAAAAGCAAATAATAATGATATGGTTTGAATAGGCATACTTGTGAACCTCCCAACGGGAGTACAATAATCCCGTTTTCAGGGGTCTCCTCCCCCCTCCCGTTGAAAAAATCCCGTGTATGAAATTTTTCATGAATGAAAAATTTCTGCCCAACATAACATCTCAGGCATCTGGTGTAACTGACATTACCTGAAGTTATATTTTACCTGTAAATCAATTAACATGCATAATTATATGGCTTCACTTGTCAGCTTGGGTGTCAAACATACTGGTAAGCAACGATTTTTACCTCAGGCTAACTGTTGTTGTGTAACAAAAACTGTGTATTTATTGGGTTACTTCCCTTGATTTATCCTGTTTTAAGTTACTTTCCTTTTAATAATGAAAATTTTTAAAAGAATATAAATAAAATATAAATTGAACAAATAATCATAAAAGGATGGTTATTAAATGATTTTAAATGTCTTAGGACAAATAAAAAAATAATAATTTGAAAATTATTTGAGGATTCTATACTTCCTTTTAAGGCTTAAATTGAAATTTATATAATAACTATGACCCTAACTTTACAGATAGAATGAATTTCTGAGTTTGCAAACAAAAACTATTTGCAAGAGATAAAAAAATAAAATAAAAACTATTTGCAGACAGCTAAACAAATGTTCTGGTTGCAATGATTGTTTTATAGAATATGAAGTATAAAATTTAAAGAACATACTGGAAAAAAAACAATGTTAGATTGAACATGTAGAATATAAAGATGGAGAAACTTTATAAGTACAAGGGTACTATAAACATAATAAATTGGTTGGAAAGTTGAAGAAAACACACTTTAAAAGACCATTTTTACAGCACACGGTTACATTTACAACAAAATTAATGTCGATTAAAAACCTCCTGATCTGAGTCCTAATCTCCTGACCAAAATTTCCCAATCTCCTGATCTGAGTTTCACAGTCCATCACATGTATGAATAGGTAAATTGAAAATTTTTAAGTTCTTAGACCACGTTCATTCTGTGTCAGAAACCTATGCGGTGTCAAATATTTAATTACAATCACAATTCAGTGCTGTATCAAGCTTGAATGTTGTGTCCATACTTGCACCAACTGTTCAGGGTTCGACCTCTGCGATCGTATCAAGCTGCGCCCCAGCGGAGCATTTTATTAAAGGATGTCCCAACTTAAAATTTTCCATCTGCTGCTTATATTTTTAATATATTCCATAAATTTGAGAGACTGAATCCAAGCCTAAAGTTTAAGGAGATGTGGTATGCTTGTCAAGGAGAAAACTATCCAACATCCAATGGACAATGGTTGTAAACAACTAAAGTAGAAGGCTTTCATGTACATGTACCTTGTTCTTAATGTAGGCCAACAGTAGTTGAAGATTTATCAATGAATTAATAGACATCATATGTATATTTCATCAGGAGACCCAGACATAAAATCAAAATCAACACTATCTTGTTTGAGCTTATGTAAATTAAAGCACTCAATACAGTTTGCAACTTAAAAAAACATATCAATGTACATCAAGCCAGACAGGGGCTTTAAAGTTACATAAACATAACCTTTGAAGGAGGCTGTGTTGATTTTGAAACTCTTGATTGTGTGAGTTGCTCTTATATAAAGACACACTTTCTGATTTTTCTCTTTATCTGAATAGTGGTGCCAAAATGAGATTAGAGCACAAATATTTCCTTTTGGGAATTTCACTGCCCATGTTTTTTAATGATGATTATTTATCTTGGGGACACAATTTTAATTTGGCCTCAACTTCAGATATTTTATGAAATTGGTGTTATCTTACTTACACTTATATGGTCAAGAGTTAATGTCATATTTGGAGTAGACTTTTCTTGTATGCACATCATAATGGTACCATTTCTTTTGTATCACTCAGTGGTGGTGCAAATTTTATTTTGATTAGCATAGTTGCAACCAATCTCACAGTAATAAGTGGTGATACTAGAATCAACTTTTGCTGTGTCAAATCTTTGTATCAATACAATTCTGAAAAATAAATATTGTATTCTCTACCCACAGATTGATGCTGTGAAAGCTGAGGATGTTGAAATGGAAGTACTTAGAAATTTATGGCTCTTGTCAACAAATGAGGAGGAGAAGGACCAGTTAATGTCACAGCTTTCAGGCTTAGCTCTGGTAAGTTATAATACTAAACAGAATATCCCTTCATTGTTAAAGCAATATATCAAGTTATAGCTAAAGGTATGCTTTAACAGTTTAAATCGAGTCAAATAGGGCCTAAAAAGTAATAAAAAGTAAAATAACAAAAATAACGAACTCCAAGAAAAATTCAAATTGGAAAGTCCCTTATCAAATGGCAAAATCAAAAGCTCAAACACATCAAACGAATGGAAAACAACTGTCATAAATTCCTGACTTGGTACAGGCATTTCCTTATGTAGAAAATGGTGGATTTAACCTGGTTTTATAGCTAGCTAAATCTTTCACTTGTATGACAGTTGCATAAAATATAGTTTTCATCCCTGCAAAAAAAGGTATAAGGTTTCTGTATGTGGATTGAAATGCAGGTTTAAGTTTGAATAATGGATATCAATAAAAACTTTTAGTACATCTACTATTAAATAAAGAGGTTGGATTATTTATGAGCCACAACTAATTAAAACACTATAAAATAGCCTAAATTTATGTGATATGACATTAGTTTGTTTCAGTTCAAGTTCTTCAATTTGTATAAAGAAATTTTTTTCTCTCATGGTTTTACTTATTGTTAAGACTCTTCAAAAATATCGTCCTCAAGAATTATAACTATTTTGAAGTCACAAAGTTAATTTTGATGTTTCATTTTTAGAAAAGATCTAAAATAGATAAATTAGTGAAGGAGATTATCAGTAAAACAGTGGATCATGATCACCAGATAGTTACCAGTATCATGGAGGATAATATTGACCTATATAATCATGATTGTTACATACAAACTGTGGAGTATTTGAGAGATACATGTCATGACCTTGACCTGCCAAATGTAAGTATTGGAAAATGGTTGTTGCGCATTGAGTGATTTTATTAGTCCCCTACCGACGAAGTCGAAGGGGACTTTAGGTTTGCACTCCATCCGTCTGTCTATCTGTCTGTCTGTCTGTCTGTCTGTCCATGTCTGTCTGTCCATCTGTCCATCTGTCATTCCGGCAAATCAGTTTTCCAGACTTTTTTTCTTCGTGCTTGAAGAAATTGATTTGATATTTGGTTTATTGATTTATCGTGACAAGTTACAGGTCAAGTTCAATTTTCACGATTTTAGCTTTTCTCTTTGTTCAGTTAAAGCCCTTTCCCTAGAATTAAATTTTTGATGAAATACTTGTTAATTAGTAGATTTCTGTTCAAAGGGAAATAACACATTTTTATGCCCCCGCCGTAGAGGTAGGTGCATTAAGTTTTACCCTTGTCCGTCTGTACGTACGTACGTTCCAAAATTGGTTTCCGTTCTCTAACTTGAGTTTGCCTCAACCAAATGTTATGAAACTTATACACAATGCTTATTACCACAAAACACAGATTAAGTTTGAATTTTGGTGGTGTCACTTTAACCGTTCTAGAGTTATGCCCCTTTATAAATGGAAAAATTGCAAAATTTTTATTTGCTTCTAAATATCAAGTTTTTTTTTTAAATTGGAGTTATCCTCCTTTGTCCATGATAATAGTTGAATCAACTACAATCAATGCTTTATACAATGCAATGTTTAATTTTGACTTCCACTTATAAAACACAGATCAAGTTGAATTTGGATAGTGTCACTTTAACCATTATTGAGTTATGCCCCTTTATAAATCGAAAGATTGCAAAATTTTTAGTTTCCATTCTGTAACTTAAGTTTGCCCCAACCAAACATTATGAAACCTATACACAATATTCATTACCACAAAACTAAGATCAAGTACAAATTTTTTGTTTCCGTTTTCTAACTTTAGTTTGCCTCAACCAAATGTTATGAAACTTATACACAATGCTTATTACTACATAATACAGATAAGTACGAAATTTGGTGGCAACACTTTTACCATTCTTGAGTTATGTCCCTTTATAAACATAAAAATTGCTGAATTTTTAGTTTCCGTTCTCTAACTTTAGTTTGTCTCAACCAAATGTTATAAAACTTATACACAACCGTTCTAGAGTTATGCGTGTTTACAAATAGAAAAATTGCTGAATTTTTAGTTTCTGTTCTCTACTTAAGTTAGCCTCAACCAAATGTTATGAGACTTACACACAATGCTTATTACCACAAAACTCAGATCAAGTTCAAATTAGGGTAGCGTCACTTTTACCGTTCTTCAGTTATGTCCCTTTATAACTATATGATATGCAAGCGGGGGCATCATCTGTGTCCACATGTGGACACTATCCACATTTATTTAAAAGACTTTTACAAGACAAAATGACATATTGGATTTTTTTCCTTTTCTTTGGTAAATTGTTTGAAGAATTTAGTGGTAGGTTTGTTTGTCATTCTTGAAGATATTGATTTGATAATTAGTATATAGTTTTATCATGACAAATTACAGATCAAGTTGGAATTTTGTTCCAGTCTGATAATTTTGTGCAGAGTTATGGTCTTTGGACATAGAAAATTCACTTAAATAATCAGTTTTCAACAGTTTTTTTATCATGCTTGAAGATTTTGACTTGATATTTTTATGCAGTTTACACCATGACAAGTTATAGATCAAGTTAGAATTTCGTTCCATTACAATGAAATTTTAATCGGTAGGGGACTATGTATTGCCATGCAATACTCACAGAATGCTTGTTGTATTCGAATAACACTCTTACAATTATTTACTTATAACTTAAGTCACATTGTGCCATGATTTTTAATCAATGAATACTAATTTTGATATTTAAAAGGACTTTAATATCCCCATAATTAACAGACCATGGTATAAAAATTCTGTTACATTATTAAAAGCACATGAAAACTTATACACTGTTAAATTCTCATTTTTAGATGCATGTATAAATATGATGTTCTTATTCTTTGAGTTTTTCTAGATGTGGGGTGAATCTGTTCTGTAGATTGACAGTTAAAGGCTGGACAATTTCACATTATTTGCTAAAGCTGACTTCAACAGTTTTTCACCGGAAACCTAGATATATAAGAGTAATTTGTATTTATAAATGTATATATTATACAATTTGACCTAATTTTATTTATATTTCAGTTCCAATACTCACTCAGACGACTTTATGCATTTGTAAACCTGTGTGAACGTAACAAGTATTCATTTGCCACCATTAAATCTGCCATCGACAAAACATGTTAGTGGACCAAAAATACAGTAGAAGAAGATGGACAAAATGTTGAATACCAGTGCTATTAACTTAGTTTGAAACATTCAATATATCAGTTTTTGGGGAGGAGTTATGTTTTGATTTAGTATTAATATGTATGTCGGTTCTTACTTACAGAAGGTTGTATGTTTATTTACAAAAATGTATATATATATATATATATTTTAAAAGATTCTTTTTATACATTTATCAAAATTTTTCCTGATAAGGCAACTTTACTTTAAAACTGGGTGCAATAATATTTTCTTCTTTTTTGTGTTTTTGTAGTACAAAGTCAAAATATATTTTCTATTCTCAAAGTAAACGATATATATAAACAGCAGTGTAATGAATAGAATATATATTTAATCTGTATGGTATATTAAAATTACAAAATAAGTACAAAATTGGCACGGGAAGAAAAATTCAGACCTGCCAACTTTCATTATTTATGGGGGATTTCCTCCGTGAGAGGTGTTGACCTATATTTTGGAATTCTTTATTGTATATATGGTCACATCATGTTTTCATACGTCATATGAATTCGTACATGCATGCTTTTTCAATGGAAATTGTGATGTCACAATGCATTCTTAATAGCATGAAAACCCATGAGACGAGGATACTGATCACCTCAAAACAGGCATTCAAATGAGTCAATATGGTATTTCAGCACCTAGATACTCATTCAGACAATATAGAAGAAGATTAGAAACTTTTATGACAATATAAGAGGGGCATTAGGTCCTCTTGTGCTTAAAATCCCCCATGGAGATATTGAATAGTTGGTAGGTATTAAAATTGTACATTTAAGATTAAAACTTGTGAGAAAGAATATAAAACATTTCTGCGAATCATTAGAATTTATAAAAATCAAACTTATATCAGCAAGATAGATAATGGACATACATATTGTATTGCATACTTAAAAAAAAACACTTTATACTTAACATTTATATTCCTGCTTTCAACATGGTTTCTTGACTTTTTATGGCTAAATGTGAGCAAATTATATACACATTGTAAATATCATGTAAATGTTTGTGTTGCCAAAGATTAAGCATAATAATTGGTTAAGAGTGTTATGGAATATTTTTGGATCTGATAACAAAATTGTAGGATTTATGCATGTAATATTAAAGAAGTAATTCTACATGTATTCAATGTTACAGTAATATTTTTAAAATGTGTTGTTAATGAAGTAACTTCACATTGGCAGTTAAATAGAAAGTTTTTGTTATATTGCAGTAGGAATTTAACATGGACTGTTTCAGCAATATTTATTTGTAATGTTACAGAAGAGATTGTACATGTACTGTTCAATAAGAATCTATGTGTACTGTTACAAAATGTTACTTAAACTGTTTCAGTAGGATTATATATAATGTAACCGGTATTGTTCATGTTCTGTTATTTATAATTAGAATCTATGTGTAATTTTGCAGAGTTTAATTGTATTAAATGGAATTAAACATGCTCTTTTACATTGAAGTATAAGAATGGTACAGAAAATTACATTTACTGTGATGGTAGGACTTTCATATGTAGTGTTTCAGAAAGATGTACATTTGTTTATATAAAACATGTTACCGGGTAATATAAAAGATTCCTGCCTTTGTCTGTGATCAGTTTTTCAATCCATAATATCATTAAAGTGTTGGATATTGTATTTGATATTTTCTTCAATTACTTAATCTTTTTATATTAATATTTAATAGCAAACAACAATCAATCCAAACACAGGGGCCTCGATGGCCGAGCGGTCTAACTAACCTGTCAACACAGGATGTGAGTTTGTTTCCGGCATGTGGCAGGTGCATTCGACTCCAACCTTTATTTAACTAGGATTGTCAGTATTGACATACCAAAGTTCGGTGGTTCTCTCTGGGCACTTAGGCTGCCTCCACCAATAAAAACTGACTGCCACGAATTAGCACTATAGTGCTGAAAGTGGCATTAACAACATTCAATAAATTAATCAATCCAAACAGGAAATTTCTAGGTACATTTCCTTAACTATCTCAATGATTCATTGTGTGAAACATAAAACACAAAAAGAATCACATGATTTACAAAAAAATATTGGATAGCACAACAGACCACACCAACACCAAAAAATAGATAAGCAACATATGGTCCAGATATCCTGGCTTGGTATAGGCACATTAGTCACAGAATTAGGTTATGTTACTTTGATATCTGTATAAGATGACATTTTGTAACTGTCACACAATAGACAACTTTTGAGTTCATTGCATTTCCTTCAAAAATTTGGGTTTTAGTGAACATCAGTCGTGCGTTTAGGGGCATTGTCACTTCCTTCCAATGTTGAGTGAGTGGTTGAAAAAATATGATGCTATATTACACGAATTATTCAGCAAATTGAATTCTTATAATTGATAAGCAGCACTGCTGTCATTAGGGAATTGTGATTAAGTACCTACGGAACAAACATTATTTCTAGTTTATCCTGCATAATGACGATCATGAAGAAGCTTGGTGAACTTTAATAGTGCAAGGATACAGGCAATCCCTTCTATCTGGTAAATGACGTCATAAAGGCGAGCATAATTGACGAACTTTTTTGGTGAAGGACATAACTCGAAAGTGGTCATTTACTTTGGACATGTTCCAGTAGTCATGGCCATAATCATGTCCTCCGGGGATCCTTTCCTCATTCATTTTCTGAAATCAGCCTGAATACTGAATACTACTTTTCAACAATTGTGTACTTGTTGTGTGCTACATGCTCTTCATACCTTTAGTTCGTATAACATTTTCTTCCTTTTTTCATTCTGTATTAGTTCTGGGAACAGTATATCTAACCGTCAATATATATGTTCCTGATTAGTTATAGTTTTGTGTGCCTTTCTTTGACTAGTGATAATTGATTGTCATCACATCTTCTTACTATTTGTCTTTACTATTTGTCTTTTGGTTGTTTTTAAAGGCAGTGCTTTAATGCCTTTCTAGTTGCCGGGTTAATCCTTCCTTCCGCGATATCCAACTTATCTACGTGGGGGGTCACTAGACTCCAAGTAGATCCGGAAATGTTGAATTCTCTCCTCTTCTTATTGCGATATAAAATGTTTTTTGTTTCATTTCATTTACATTGGGAAATAGAGAAACGATCATTGTGTTTTGTTAGTTTTAAAAACTTTTGATATATTTGTATTTTGCATTATGAGCAGTCAACCGATTGACAAACTAGAATTATTTGAATTCCGTGTGGAAAGAGCTCGGGTTAATTTCGAGTGTTATCTGCAATCTAGATGTTTATAAATCATTTCAGTCGTTGATATAATAATTAAAGGTCGACTGAACATGAATTATATTATACAATTTAAAGCGCATTTCTGTTTATGCACGTGAACCCGTCTAACGTTATTTTCGCAGTTATATAAAGTAGCAAATTATCGTTCCTGAATAGGTGGCGCCGTGGTAGCGGATCCTGGAATGCACGTCGTTTCGTAACCTGGTCGTTTCGTACCTGGTCGATTCGTAACTACGTTGTTTTGTAACTGAGACGTTTCGTACCTTTTGTAATTATATATGGTTATAAAGTGTTAGTTTAAATTAATTAGTTTAAATGAAAAAGTTAAAGTTATTATTTAAAAATGATCCAATTGTTCATCTAATAATAACAATATTGTAATATTTTTAATATAAAATTTTCTGAAATCTTTTTAATTATTGGCTAATTGGTTAATTTGTAATTACGCTCGGTGACAGCTTTAATGGTTTTATGACAACTAATGACAGGTAATAAAAAGTAATTACAGTAGGTGTAAAGTGATTAAGTAGATTAATGGCACACGACCTATGGCACACGACCGGCGTTGGCGGAGTTAAGAGTTAGTGGGCCGGAGCAGCAACAGCAGTTGGTTCCGTAAACAAAAGCACACCTCCTTAATAATGTACTACTGGACATCTGGTTTTGAGTGTATTTATCCCAGAATGAGAAAATTTCTGATATATGTTTAATAACTACACAAAAAAGCAATCAGTAGTGAAATATTTTGAATAAATTTAATTTGAATTAAATTGATAAATTATTAGGCGTGGTTAAATTAAGTAAATGTAAGTGACAAGTGTTCACTTAATGGTATAATAGCAGTTTTTTTTACTCCTTTTTCATTCATCTATAAACGCCAAATATGTCACTAACAGTAAATAAGCCCAAAGTCCTTGTGATCGGTCACAGTTTCATCCGAAGACTGGAAAATTGGATGTTAAGAACGCAATCCGACTTATCAAGTTCTGTGAAAGAAACAACTTATGATAGAAAAAAAAAGAAGATAAAGAAAGAACTAATTAGCAACATAAAGATGAGTGGTGTCAAGTATTGGAGACATAAAAGCACGTGGCAGAAGACTAAATACTTTGATAAAGACGGGGTACATCTAAATGATGATGGACAATTCAAATTCTTCTGTTTTATTCGCATGTGTGCAAAACTGTACTTGTAAAGTGTAAATTTATGTGCAATCAATTATTTAATAAATAAATATAGATATATATATACACATACATCACTAAGTCTTTTTATTACTTTTTACGTAACCTACTAATCTTATTGTTATTATATATTGATAAAAGGTTACAAAACGTCTCAGGTACGAAACGACCTAGTTAAGTTACGAATCGACTAGTTACGAAACGACCCTCACCCGGATCCTGTTCCTCTTCTTCCGGTTTCTGCACTGTGCAACTATTTCATTTATATTTTTAATTAACGATGCCAAGTACTTGTTGTTGTGTACCTGGATGTCATTTAAGAGGAGGACATGCATTTCCAAATGACTTAAACAGAAGGAAAAGTTGGATCAACGCCATGGCCCATACGCAGATTGGACGAGAACACGATGATATCGTGGAGTCCATCTCAATCAGCTGTTGTTTGCAAGGCACGTTTTACTGAAAAAGACTACGTGCAGGAAACTATTCATGGTAAAACTCTATTTTCTTTGTGAAATATATAGTTATATATGTAATCGCCATGCGAATAAACCAAAGTCTGTTTACAACCGCAATTATCGTTTTAGAATAAAAGGGGGTGGGTAATTCAAGACGTCATAATTTTTTGGATTACGATTCAATGTGATCTGTTTGAGATTTTTTGGTGATTGCTACAATTATAATGATTTCTTACAAGAGGAATATCATACTGAGAATTATTTTAGCAGTAATTATGCTAATGTAGTAATGACAGGAATGCATAAGCTATGCCTCATAGACTTTCTTGAAAAATATCAATGACAATGTTAACAGGAACAAAACAATGACATGCTCTCATCTATATTATAGTTATTTAGGTACAAACAATGTACGTTTGTTGCATAAGTCTCTCATTGTTTGTCCTTTGGATTTACATAACATACATTGAATCAGGCAAACATAGTTTTATCCAGATTGTAATGAATAAATCTAGTTAATATTTCGCCAGGTAGTACAAAGTATACATTGCTAATGGAAGTTCATTTAATTATAAAAAAACTAATGTTTTATAACCTTTTTCAGGGCGCAAACCCACCATACAGAGACTTAAGTCTACTGCAATTCCCAGCCTATTTTCCTGGACCAAGCAAGAGACTGAATCGTCCGCAAAAAGAAAAATCAGGGCAGTTTCCTGTGAAAACAAAAGAACTAAACTTGATGAATATTGTAGTAGAAATCTAGAGGAAAGTTTTGATTGTAAAGTTGGTTTTCCTGAAGAAGTCATTCATACTGCAGAAAGGATTTATGACTGTCCACCACCAACTGCCGAGCTAATGTTGAGCTTCACAGATGGAATTACGCAAACACCATCAATGCCTATGTTTTCAGCAGAGAATTTTGAAATGAAGACACGTGACACAGCCATGCATTTTTATACCAGTTTAGAGTTGTATACTAAATTTTTATTTGTTTTGACCACACTTGGTCCAGCAGCACATTGTTTGAGATACATATATTTTCAAATTGATAGGGTGTCAGTTGAAAATCAGTTTTTTTATGACTTTGATGAAATTGAGGCATCATACAACCAACTTTGAACTGTCTAGATTCTAGATTGAATCTAGTGTTAAGAATATTGTGTATACATGGATTGTTTTTATGTCTAAACAGTGGTGTGAGGCTAACACTTGGCCATCTAGTGGTTTAGTCAGGTATTTTTCACCATCCAACTTCAAATTAAAGTTTCCTACGACTTGGATTATTATTGACAGCACAGAATATCCCGTGATAAAACCTAAAGCTCCTAGAGCTCAGGCAACCTTTTCATCAAATAAAAACAGAAACACTGAAAATTCTTGAATGTTCGACACCTGGTGGTTTATAAGTCAACTATGTCTCTATGTCACATAGAGCGAATTATTGGACTTGGCAAAACATACAAAATTCTAATAAATCCTATGAATGGAACTGAAACAAAACTTTCATCTGAAATAACATTTAGTTGTTTTATGTTGTGTAATTTTAGAACTTGTATTGTGCCAAAGGATGCATAAATAAAAGTGATGCAATGAATTTTGTTCTGATATATATATACATTTACAATTACATGCACATGTAAATTGTAATGCATATAAAAATAAGGAGATGTGGTATGATATTCAGTGAGTTTATCAAACTAAAGTGCATAAGAAATGGGTTTAAGCAGTTACAGGTGTTACTGTCACCGTACAATCTCCAACAATGAGAACAACTCGTACCCTGTAAAAAATTTCAGAGATCTTACAACTAAGTTTTGTTGTCTCACCTTGACTTTGGTGAATTTTTTATATCTGTTGATGTAAATATAAAAAAGAAGATGTGGTATGATTGCCAATGAGACAACTCTCCACATATGCACAAGAGACCAAATGACACAGAAATTAACAGCTATAGGTCACAGTACGGCCTTCAACAATGAGCAAAGCCCATACCGCACAGTCAGCTATAAAAGGCCCAGAAATGACAATGTAAAACAATTCAAACAAGAAAACTAACGGCCTATTTTATGTAAAAAAATGAACAAATATAACATATATGCAACACATAAACAAACGACAACCACTGAATTACACTTTTATAGGCTCCTGACTTGGGACAGGCACATACATGTACATACAGAATGTGGCGGGCTTAAACATGTTAGCGGGATCCCAACCCTCCCCCTAACCTGGGACAGTGGTGTAACAGTACAATATAAGAAAGAACTATAAAAATCAGTTGAAAGAGGCTAAACTCATCAGATGGATAAATACAAATACAAGTGGACGTGGTCAGGTAGTTGTACATCCAAACAACAAAAAGACACGTACAAATCTGAGAGTACTCGCAGTTACTGACAGCTAGTTCAAAGCCACTAACAACTGATAAAAAAATCTTGCATCTAAGACTAAATTATCAATCCGTAAGCTCCCTTTAGAATTTTATAAATTTTAGATTTTACATTTCTGAGTTAAGGGGTTTTATTCATTAAAAAAGGGGGGATTTTTCCAGTTTTTGGACAACAACTCAAAAATGCTTTAAGCAGTTCACATGAAACTTTAGTGAATTATTTATAGCTATTGATGTAATCTCCCTATTGATTTTCATAAATTTCAAATATGACATTGAGAAGAAATTGAACTTTATTTGTTTATAGTCTGGCAACAGATTTATTAAGTATTGCACAACAGCACAGTGTATTGCACAACAGCAAGAAATCTTTAATTGAATATAAATTCAATTCATATAACTGATTTCTAGTTCATTGACTACATTTATTCAGAAACTATAATATGTCAAATATTTAATTACAATCCAAATTCAGACCTGTATCAAGCTTGAATATTGTGTCCATTTTTGCCCCAGCTGTTCAGGGTAGTACCTCTGCGGGTGTATCCAGCTGCGCTCAGCGAATCAGTTTATTTCTTAATTAAGAACTCCTTTTTATACGACTGCAAAAAAATTTTTGTGGTCGTATATTGGTATGACGTTGGCGTCGGTGTCGTCCGGCATCGTCGTCCGAAGACACATTAGTTTTCGCACTCTAACTTTAGTTTAAGTGAATGGATCTCAATGAAATTTTAAAAGAAGGTTCAATACCACAAAAGGAAAGTGGGGATTGATTTTGGGGGTTATGGTACCAACAGTTAAGGAATTAGGGGCCAAAAATAAGCATTTTTGTAACTTCCAGACATAACTTGTGTGTAAGTGTATGGATCTCTCTGACATTGTACCACAAGGTTCCATATCACAAAGGGAATGCTTTGATTAATTTTTGGGGGTAATTGCCTCCAAATTTTAGGAATTAGGGGCCAAAAAGGGGCAAAAAACAAGCATTTTTCTAGTTTCATGACAATAACTTGTGTGCAAGTCTATGGATCTCTCTGACATTGTATCACAAGGTTCCATATCACAAAGGGAATGCTGGGATTGAATTTGGGGGTAATTGCCTCCAAATTTTAGGAATTAGGGGCCGAAAAGGGGCAAAAAACAAGCATTTTTCTAGTTTCATGGCAATAACTTGTGTGTAAGTGTATGGATCTTTATGAAATTGTACTACAAGGTTCCATATCACAAAGGGAAAGCTAAAATTGAGTTTGGGGGTAATTGCCCAAAAAGTTTAGGAATAAGGGGCCAAAAATAAGCATTTTTCTAGTTTCCAGACAATAACTTGTGTTCAAGTGTATGGATCTCTCTGAAATTGTACTGCAAGGTACCATACCACAAAGGGAATGCTGGGATTGATTTTGGGGGTAATTGCCTCCAAATTTTAGGAATTAGGGGCAAAAAAGGGGCAAAAAACAAGCATTTTTCTAGTTTCATGACAATAACTTGTGTGTAAGTCTATGGATCTCTCTGACATTGTATCACATGGTTCCATATCACAAAGGGAATGCTGGGATTGATTTTGGGGGTAATTGCCTCCAAATTTTAGGAATTAAGGGCCAAAAAGGGGCAAAAAACAAGCATTTTTCTAGTTTCATGGCAATAACTTGTGTGCAAGTGTATGGATCTTTATGAAATTGTACTACAAGGTTCCATATCACAAAGGGAAAGCTGGGTTTGAGTTTGGGGGTAATTGCCCTAAACGTTTAGGAATTTGGGACCAAAAAGGGGCCAAAAAACAAGCATTTTTCTAGTTTCCAGACAATAACATGTGTTCAAGTGTATGAATCTCTCTGAAATTGTACTGCAATGTACCATACCACAAAGGGAATGCTGGGATTGATTTTGGGGGTAATTGCCTCCAAATTTTAGGAATTAGGGGCCAAAAAGGGGCAAAAAACAAGCATTTTTCTAGTTTCATGACAATAACTTGTGTGTAAGTCTATGGATCTCTCTGACATTGTATCACATGGTTCCATATCACAAAGGGAATGCTGGGATTGATTTTGGGGGTAATTGCCTCCAAATTTTAGGAATTAAGGGCCAAAAAGGGGCAAAAAACAAGCATTTTTCTAGTTTCATGGCAATAACTTGTGTGCAAGTGTATGGATCTTTATGAAATTGTACTACAAGGTTCCATATCACAAAGGGAAAGCTGGGTTTGAGTTTGGGGGTAATTGCCCTAAACGTTTAGGAATTTGGAACCAAAAAGGGGCCAAAAAACAAGCATTTTTCTAGTTTCCAGACAATAACATGTGTTCAAGTTTATGGATCTCTCTGAAATTGTACTGCAAGGTACCATACCACAAAGGGAAGGCTGGGATTGAGTTTTGGGGTGATGAATCATAAGGGGGTTCAAAAAATTTGGGGGGGGGGATTCTTTTTCCTTTTTTTTCTTTAAATTTTTCCATTTTAAATTGGTTATTTCTGATTTATATATAAAAGCCAATAAAAATGATATGGTTTGAATAGGTAAATTAATTTTTTTTAAGTATCTTAGACCACTTTCATTCTGTGTCAGAAACCTATGCTGTGTCAAATATTTAATTACAATCCAAATTCAGTGCTGAATCAAGCTTGAATGTTGTGTTCATACTTGCCCCAACTGTTCAGGGTTCGACCTCTGCGGTCGTATCAAGCTGCGCCCCAGCGGAGCATTTTATTTCATTCATAAATTACTTTATGCTTGGAAATATAATTTTGCTTGGAGTTGAAAGAGTTGACATGTTGCAATGTACATTTACTCTACATAGTTCTATGGTACCAAATCAAAAGTTTATATAAAGAAAGAAGTCAAAGGTTTCCCATCATAGTTTAGTTACATACATTTTTTTTGTACCTGAGGTCGTTGAATATAGATCATTATATAAATAAAGAGATGTGTTATGATTGCCAATGAAAAAACTAAGGATTTTCTTATCCAAGGAATAGATTACCTTAGCCGTATTTGGCACAACTTTTTGGAATTTTTGGTCCTCAATGCTCTTCAACTTTGTACTTGTTTGGCCTTGTTACTATTTTGATCTGAACGTCACTGATGAGTCTTATGTAGACGAAACACACGTATTAAATTATAATCCTGGTACCTTTGATAACTAATTTGACTATAAACATAGATAAAAAAGGTACAAACTGGACATAATGCACTAGTTCATAAACAAGTGAGAACAATCGCCTTCATATAGTGCTCAGAATATGACATTCATAAAACTTATTCAATATCATTAGAGAACTCTAAATCTTAAATACTGAGAGCCACCTCTGATAAGTACACTGTACTATGCAAGATAATGATATAACTGGACTTAAAATACACACAACCTGTAATTAACTGCCTTTACAGCGCTTTCGTGCTTTGATTGGTTTTTACCATGGCATTGTCAGTTTGTTTTTGACTTATGAGTAATTTGAATATCCCTTTGGTATCTTTCGCCTCTCTTTCAGAGAATGCACTCAATCTATTAAAGAAAGTGGTGGAAAGTTTTCAAATATGAATGGAAAATAAAATGTATGGTCAAAATATTGTCCTTCAACAGCTAGGCTAGTTACCAACCGATCATAGATGAGTTTTTCATTGGTTATTATAGCAGAGGGTAGGACAATAATAATTTCAGAACTAAAATAACCTTTTAAATCAGACATTGTATATAGTTGTATAAAGCCATAAAAAACCTTGAAAATACTCGGAATGATTTAATATTTCAACAGAACAAATATTTGCTATCTTTGTCCACTGGTGTAAGGGGTGTTTAAAACGGATTAACGTACCGCAATTACATGAACACTGATTTTATGTTGGTAACTGACATGTTAAAATTAAAATGACAGTGGCAAAACATAGACTATGTAATAGCTAGTGCCCAGTAATATTGAAACATGAGAAAATTTTCTTTTTGACATTTACAAACACAGTGAGTGTGCTTAAGAACATGAGCAAACACGATTGTATGAAAAACCAGGTTACTTAACTGTAAAACTCAGATTCAGCCAAACATCGGTGAACTTTCCTTAGGTGGTCCTTTCAAATTGTTTTTCAGATGAAAGTCTGTCATTCAATATGAAATATGGATACAACGTGTATAATGAAAATATCCTTTAAAATAATTACAATTGAAAACTGATACTGGGGAAATGACACTTTTGATCTAATTTCAAACAAATGTTTGCAGAACTCAGAATTGATACTCTTATGATCCTTGCTTTGAGAAATTTACTTGCATAATTAGAATAATGCTGCTAGCCAAAAAATTATTAAATTTTTGTACTCGACCTCGTTTCCTTCCCATATATTTCAGTATGTTTGACCTTGATGATCTGTAGTCATCTTTGTTGAAAAGATATACCATATAAACTGCCACCTTGGCAAATATTACTATGATAAGGTCATGATGGTTTAGCATTTATCTGCAGATATGTGATATATATTGAAGACACCTAAGTCAGTGAGGGGAAGATGTTTTTCTTGAATGTTTACCAGGTTATTACTTCTGAATATAAGTCTACAATGGTCAATTATATTTTTAACAATTTATATGCCAAGTTCATAAATAGTTTTTTTTTTAAATCCGCCTCCCCAGCGATTTTCAGGATTTACCTTCATCAGGAAAGCTCAAAGCTTAAGTATTTGAAAGCCAAAGACATATGAAAACAGTGACAGTTGAAGAGCTATTTGACCAAATTAGACCTAAAAAAGGTAACCAATTAAATCAAGCTAAGGTCAACTTTGCCTGAGGAAGCTGAAACCTTAGTTTTTCTTATAATTTCTAGATTTATTAACAGACAAGTTAAGTGTTCAATTGATGATTTCAGTCGTGTTGACTTATTTATTTGTAGATCTTATTTTGCTGAAACAAATTTTCTTTATTCAATATAGTGTCTGCAAGAAACGCAAATAATAGGGGAAAATGTCTTTCAATGGCAATTAATTACTCCAATAACGGGTCAATTGACCATTTTGTCTTGTTGACTTATATGGGGATTTTATTTTGCTGAACATTTTTACTATTCACAGGTTCTTTATATAAAAAAAGGGCGACATTTAGGTTTACCCACTAATGAACGAGTTTGTAATGTATGTAAATCGGGTGAGGTAGAAGATGAAAATCACTTTTTACTGAATTGTGAAAAATTTTCTAAATACAGAATAAACTTTAAAACTATTATATTAAATATACTTCCTACACGTTGTAGTGAGAGTCAGCTAACTATGAAACGTTGCATAAATAGCAACTCTTTAAAAGTCCTGAAAGTGACAAGTTCTTGTATACATAAATGTCTGGTATATAGAAACGAGATTTTAGCTTCTTAATTATAACATATTATTTCATTATGCTGTATTCATTGTTATAATGTACTGAAATATGGGCCTTTGCCAATTATTGTAATTGTGTTTGTGCCAATAAAATATTTGTATTTGTATCTAGAATGGTTTCTGCAAAAATGGATAAAAATCATTTTTTAAGGATAAAAACTCTTTAATAAAAGGGTTCAATTAATTGGAGATTTCTGCCATATTGACTTATTTGAAGATCTTTTTTGCTGAACGTTTTTTTTAACAATTTTTGATTTCTATTATAGGTTCTGCAAAATAACCACATGCAATGGGTAAAATATGTCTTTCAAAGGCAATAACTTCTATAAGGGGTTATTTGACGATTTCTGTCAAGTTGACTTAATATTTGTAGATCTTATTGTTCTGTGGTAATTTTTGCTGTTCAATATTCCTCTCTATCTGTTATGTAGTTTTCAAGAAATTTATCAAAAACTAATAAATATGAAAAAAACCTGACATTTTAAGGGCAATAACTTTGTCAAATTTTTTTGAATATTTCATGGAAAATAGACCTTGACTTTTTTATAATATTTACCTTGCTGTTTTTTTTGTTTTGTTTGAGATATATTTTACCTAATAGTTGCAGAGTAAAAAGTTTATGACAACGAACGGATGGACAACAACGGATGCCAAGTAATGGCTAAAGCTCTGTGACATATCCTTTTAGGCCAGGTTAGCTTAAAACACCACCGTTCTAATTACATTATACAGATATATAGAGACCTCTTTTACCTAAGTTATGTAAGGACCAAAGACAAGTCGAACCAAGACAACTGGGACCAATTTTAAGACTACTCAGACCACTTTTAAAGACAACTCTGACCAGTTTAAAAGACAAATTGGACCAGTTTAAAAGACAGACCAGTTAAAGAAAGACAATTCAAAACCACTTATGAAGGCAATGAAGAAAAGTTTGAAAGTCTACTAGTCTACCAGAATCACTTATTATATTTTCCTTGGTCGCCATGTTGGATGTACACAGTAATATTTAATGCGATCTTTATGAACTTACCTGCTTTCTATAAATCATTTTTAAGTTAAAAAATACACTTATAATACAATATTATTTAATAATCAATGTTTAAATGTCACCAATATGTGCTAATAATTTAATTTTGGATGTAACGCGTCTTCTGATTGGCTGACTTTGTTTTGTTTATCAGCTCATAGACATAATTTTGTCATGTGACCGTGATGTCATCAACGTTTTTTCATGGTTTACTCCGGTTTAAAATGGAATTTAGAATTAAATTATAAGAAATGACTGTAATATTTTTTCTGTCTATTCGAAATAACATAAAAAATGTGGTGCACACTTTGAAATAACCCGCTACGCGGGTTATTCAGTGTGCACCACATTTTTTATGTTATTTCTTCATAGACAGAAAAAATATTACAGTCATTCCTTAAATATTAAAATTTCAAGTGTTATTAGGTGTTAACAAGTGTTATTTGGCTAATAACGGTGTTATTCGGTGATTCGAGGTACCGTATTTCCATTGCATGTAAAGTTATTTGTTGTTTTACTTTGGTCATTATTTTCTATTATGTAAACCTGGAGCTATTATCCTATGTTAGTATAATAGTCCCAGTATAAACCCCATCCAGACCTTCGTATTAGCATTCTTAAATGGTCTGAGTGGTTTAAACTGGACAGAGTTATCTTTGAAACGTGTCTGAGATGTTTTCAAATAGGCCCGAGTTGTCTATTAAAAGCAGTCCAAGTTGTCATTGAATTGGTCCGATTTGTCTTGGTCCGAGCTGTCTTTGGTCCGAGTTCACCTGATTCTAGTTATGTCCCTTTTGCCCACTCTTCAAAAATAAAGATAGTTTCATTTTCGCGGAAATTTGAAATTGTTTGCCCAAGAAAAAATAGAACACAGCAAAATACAAAAGGAGGTAAATATAAACATGTTCTTTCAGTGCTGGTGACACATAAAACCTTGAAAATAATCCGCGGTTGATTTCCATTTCTTCTCATGAGCCTATGAACTATGAGACTCCCCCTTTATTTTGTAAGCTAGTCATTACCACTACCAGTATAATACACCTTATCGCTAATCCCGCTTGACCCGAGAATCAGTCCCGCTCGAACTTTTGACGTCATACAACAATCACTTTTCCATTGTGGCGTCAGATATTTCTATTATGACGTCAAAATTTTACGGGAACTTGTGTGATGTCCAGTAAGGGGACGACCATTTGATATTCTGGGGGGGGCCAGGAGGATTTGTTTTGGATTGGTTATTTATTTTTGTAAACTAAGAGGACAGATTATTTATTTTCTGCACTGTTGAAGCAAGATTTTTCATTTTCATTAAAACAAGGGACTGATTATTTATTTTCATAACTATATTAAAAATATTCGAAAACATAAAATTTTTAAATTCATTTTTTATTATAAATAATACATGTACAGTCAAGTCATTAATGTACCATTTAATCAGAATTAATCATCCTCTGCGGAAATGAATCTTCTGAATTCCAAACTGCATATACATGTATTGCATACATACATGGTATTAGAGTTGGGCTGTGACTAGCCTCTTTTAAAAGCATTGCCAACTCTATTTATGCCGAGCGGAGCGAGGCAAAAAAATTTTGAAGGGTTTTGAAGCCGCTGCAGGCCCAAAGAAACTATAGAACAAATGATGCAAAATCGTGCTTTCTGGGCGTTCCCAGACCCTTTCTTATTCTGAAAACGCAAGTTCTGTTTTAATAATTGTTTGACAATATTTTGGTCTCAAAGCAAAATGTATAGATTCAGCATAAGACTTAAGTTTTTATGGACAACACCAAAAGACCAATATGAAGAATAAAGTAAAATTGTAATTCACATAGTTAAGTATGTGGCTGCTGTTTTTTTTTTTTTTTTTTTTTTTTTGTTGTTTCGGCATGCAGAATTTAAATCTTTTATACCTGTAAATTATATGGGGTTTTATTCAAATTAAGTTAAGAGGGGGCTGATTATCAGTGATATAACTATGTCAAGTAATTTTTAATAACACATTTCAATTACAACTTGATGTAGCTCTTAACTGGGATACAATTTAAAGTAGTTAAGTTGTAAAATTAGCTAAAAAGTCTTAAATAAAATAAAACTCATGATCAAGTTGAAAAAAAAATTACTAAATCACAAAAAGAATGCAACACTAAGAGAATACAGAAGGGCAATCAATGAACTAAAGACAAATTTAAAGAAACATTGATCCCGAAAAAACAGGTGCTACGTCCAAGGGAGAACAGAACTTGCTTCTTGCAAACACTCGCTGTGAAAATAATTTGATATGAAGACAAGCTTTTGGTTTTAAAATTTCCTACATAAAGGCATTTGCCTCAATGTAGTAACAGCCCTGTAATAAAAATGAGGTAAGTGTTCCTGAGCCAATATACCTCTTGAAAGTTAAATGAAACCCATTTTCAGACATTTCAAGTATATTTATACCTTTATTATTAAAAGATTTGGGAAGTGTTTCCCGAATTTTTTTTTGAAAAAAGATGAATTTTATGAAGAATCTGGTGCCACCTCATACTTTCGAATAGCATTTATAAAATGGATTAAAGACCTGCCGAGTTATTCATTTTCAATACATTGTAAGTCAGGTTATTTATTTTCGAACTACCACAGAACAAACCATTTATTTTTGTGATTATCAAGGCTGAGTTATTTATTTTCAAAATCCTCCTGGCCCCCCCCAGAATATCAAATGGTCGTCCCCTAATGGCGGACAAATAGCGATAAGGTGTATTTAGACTGGTTCTGTCAGTACTTATTACATATTTCATATAAACATGATATTTATGTATAGTACAAGGTACTTATACATAGCAGGAGCCCAGTCTGAAATTATAAGTCTATATTTCATTCTGACACTTAGCTGGGACTATTATACTAACGGGACTGGAAACTGATCGATCTGTTGAGATTTAATTGCCCCGATAGCGGATTATTGATTTTTTGTTTTGATTGACAGCTTATTGTGTCACGTAGTAAATTAACATTCGGTACATGAATGTAAACAATAGATTTCGGCAAACAAGTCAGCATATACATTTTATGTATATAATACTGTTAAAATTGGTGGATTTGAAATAAAAAAATAATTATTTAATTAATTAGTTTAAATGCAAAAAATATATATTGTTTATGAAAAATTATTAATAAGTAGTCAATATATTAGTGTTGAAAAAAAAACCAGATATACATGTAGTCGAAATGCCGGCGCTTTACTTGACCGCTAAGAAAACAACGTGTCAAAGGTTAACAGATCATAATTAATCCTGATAAAAACAATAAGTGTGCAATAAAAACAATGTTTACAATTTCAGTTCATAACTAATTCATATAACAAAAGTTACCCAGGTCAAATAAAGATATAGCAACATTGTTTTGAACTTTTGTGAACTTCGTGTTTACACCAAAATTTCAATATGGTTGTGAACGGGCCTACTTTTGTAGTTCTAATTATGGAACCTAGTGTACATATTTTCACGAAGTCATGTGCTAATGCCACCAGAAGACCATTACTAAGCAAAATTAACCCTGATTATAATAAAAATATTGTACACATAAAAAGGAGTAGGTAATTTTATAGGAACAGTATAATTTATTTGAGCCGTGCATGTGGGTTCCGGTTGTAATGAGAAAGAGATTTATATTCCACTTTTTATTTTAAAAAGTGACAATAAAAATAGGCAAATCCAAACTATAACCTATAAATATGATTTTACAACAAACCGAACTTGCGTATCTCTTTTCAATCAACAGTTATAAGTAATTTTATGAATCATATACTTTTTTCCTCGTCATTTAAGCCCTGGCATCCACTAGATATATAAAAAATAAATTCATTTTGTGTTTCAGAATGATAAAATCTTTGTTTGCAGGATTTTGATGGGCATCAGCGGTTAGTGGTCTTTTTGGGTGTTTGATGGTGAATCCAGGTCCCTTCGCCCAAAATCATGTTTGCTCCCATTCACATTCGCCCCCTTTCACGTTTGCACCCTTTTTATTGGTTTTGTAATGAATAATGGTTTAATCATCATGATCATGTTTTAGTTAGTGTATTACTATGAATAAGTTTTTTTTATTTTTTCAAAATAAAGTGACATTCTAAAAACGTAAACAGATTTCTACTTCATGCACTTTAGCCATACACAATCATTCAAATCATGAAATAATTCATTTAAAAAACATCACTTAAATGTTTCGAGTAACTACTTTATAAAATTTAAAAGAGCACTAAAATATTTTAAAAAAAACCTGAAATATCACATCACATTGTACACCATTCACACACCAATACTATCTAATATGCACTAATATAAATAGTTTATTTAAGAATTAATGTATTAAATTCAAATAACAGTCACAATTGTAATCAAAGTTCAAAGTCTACTGTGGCGGAAAATCGTCAATTGGTTTGTCTGATGTCCATACGTATACAGTCTTCATCAAATCCCCCCAAAAATGTTTCATTTTGAAATTCCCGAATTTTATTTATATATATATATATAATGAAAATATAAATATTTTGATTTATACATTTGTACATCTAAAAAACATCTAATAATTCAATCATTTTTTGAATAAAAATAGGGAGCGAACGGATCCAGGGGGCGAACGTGTGGGGGTGTGAACGTGTATTGGGATCGAACGGACCTGATACCTTTGGTGATGAAAAGACCTACCCAATGAATGAACTTGTAGGGTGTTTAAAATTAACAAAGTTATTGCCAGGTGCTCTCAAAGAAAAACCCAGCAGAAGCCAATATAATTTGTTGTCAAGACATTTTAGAAATTATTCTAGACAGTCAGGGGTACTACTTGTACAAGTAATCTTTATTTATTTGAAGAAGTAAATAATAATATACTTATATAAGTAAATTATAATGTTTGAATAATCTCCCCTTAATTTTCTCAAAAATTTACTTGTATAAGTAATTTTTTTTTACAATCCCGAAAAATTCTCAAGTTTTTAGATGTAAAGACATGTCTATAACAATTTTTCTCAGGTTAGCTCATAATTTTTGATTAGATATCAATGTTTCATCTCATTAATTCAACAAAGAAACTAATTGCGCAAAGATCTTAAGTATTTGGGCAAGGCCTTCAAAAATTGCCCCTTGGGGGCTTGTAAATGAGCAGTGATCTGATGAAGATAACAGACAAATGAGATTTTCATTGTCCATGAAATTACACTTAAATGATCAGCAAAGACATCTGCAAAGGACAGACAATTAAAAATTCTATTAGAGCAAAGAAGTCCTTAAGAAATTCAAGAAAAGAATATAGGATGACTTTTTTACTTGTATAAGTAAAAAAATCTGAATTTCTAAGCGACATAACTAAGCCAAAAAATAATTTACCTATACAATTAAATAAAATATGCTTGTATAAGAATCCTACAAATTTACTTATATAAGTATATTAATATTTACTTCTTCAAGTAAATAAAAATTACTTGTACAATTAGTACCCCTGACTGCTAGATCTCCAGTAATAAAAAAGTAAAAAAGAATGCGATAAATCTCTCAGGGAAGAAAGGAAGAAGAGTGCATGTAATTGGGCATCATACATGTACATGTACGTGTAGAGTTTCAATATATTTTGTTAATTTTCAGTTTCACTACATACATTGTTTACATTATACATGTTATATGTGCATGTACTTTGTTTGCATTCCCATGCTGGCTGCACTTATACTTTATTTGATAGCACGGGGGAGGGGTCTCTTCCTATGTGAAGGTATACACAGCCATGAGGCTTGAATGGTTCCCTTTTTAATAGGTTAAATATAACAATGTGTTGAAATTTCACCAAGGTCAAAAGTCAATGGGTCAGTAATTTTCAATTTTTCAATTAGATATCTTTATACATCATTGTATATATGCTGTTTTATCCTTTTAGATCAAATTAAGATGTAAACAATTGTATATATGTGATAACTGAGAAATATAATGTGTTATGTTTTTGAAAATGAGATATTTTTATCTGTTGGGATTTTATAACCAAGACCTCAATTATTGGGGGGGGGTTAAATCCCAGCCTGAAGTCTGTATCCCAATATCCCATGTTGAGACCCTTGTGATCGATAGTAAACTAAAAGGCTTCTGAAACTATTGGGCATTAAATCAGAGAAATTTAAAACATGATCTGTTGTTGTAAGCATCCATGCAGGGCCTAGGCCTTGATGCTTACAACAACTGATATCTCATTTTCAAAACCATAACACATTATATTTCTCAGTTATCACATATACAATTGTTTACATCTTAATTTGATCTAAAAGGATAAAACATGTACAGCATATATACAATGATGTATAAAGATATCTAACTGAAAGATGAAAATTACTGACCCATTGACTTTTGACCATGGTGAAATTTCAACCCATTGTTACTATACATGTATATAGGCTAGTGGGCTCGATGTTTCTTGTTTTATATATATTGATGTCTTATCAAACGTTGTTTATTTGGGATCTAGATAGTTTAACTTACAATTTTATGAATTTTATGATTACTGTTCAGAAATATATTGGTATTTCTAAATTAAAATACAATATACATATGTAATTAAATATTGTGCAATAACCATGACAACAAACATTTTCCCTTTTTTTTACCACATTTCATGAAAATAATTACTTCAACTGCCTTTGTGGCATTTCTGGTAGATATTATCAGTCACTTTCTTTCCAATCTGATTAAAACGCAGATTCTGTGTACACACTTTGCATACAAGGATCTGAAAATACTCCATTCTTCTTTTTGTTTTAATGACCTTTTCAGATTCTTAGGTTTCGTTGTACACACATTCAAATATTTGAAGACAGAAATTTCATTGGTTGATATAAGATTTATCATAACAGAAACATGAGAAAGTAGGATGGAGTGTTTTAAATTTAAGATCCTTGTAAGCAAAGCTTGGAGACAGGATCTGTATTTAAATCAGATCGCTTTCTTTCTGCTCTAAAACTAACCATATCTGATATGACTTTGCATTTCAATTAAACAGAAAAAAATCACCCTAAAAACATACAAAATTAATTAGCAAAAAGAAAATATGAGCATATGTTATAGGACTTGGGTATATCCCTGTTAATAAGTTACCTGTATACCAGTAAATAAAATTTACTTGTAGTGTAAGTCATACATATTTTGTGTACCCCTGACTAGGAAGCATTATGTATAAGAAATTTTGTGAAAGAACTTATTTTTGGGCCTGTAAGCCGAAATGTTCTGTCAAGACTAATGCTGTCAAAGTCCTTTGATTGACAATGCTCTATGGATTGTATATCTATAAGAGACAGATGAATGAATTTGCATTATAACTTCTAGAAACCCTTTTCTTTGTTTTCAGGAGGATGAATCAGACAAAGTCACACATACCACATTATATTCATGGAACTAAGTCTAGCCATGCAAAAAGTTCTAAAACTACAGATACTACAAGTAAATTAACCAGACCAAAATCTACTACATATGGGTAGGTGATCACCTAGTTATAGAGCATGCAAGATAACTGAAACATCCTCCGAATATTCAATATGTTGAAGAACATTTTTTTTATAGATCAGGGCACTATTGAGTCTCTGATACTATAATGCCTCACTGATAAACCATTAGCAAAAAAGAACTAAATAATTGTCTTACCATTGCTTACCAGTATTTATTTCAAGAAAGTTAAAATTTTAATTGTAAACTAAGCATGTGTTTATAATTCTTAAATACTAATATATCAAGTTTTTTTAATTCTTTCTCATGTTCATGTTATAAAACAATGTTTTAACATAATCTATACCCAAACATTTGAAAAACAATTTGAAAGGTAAAATATTGATACATTAGAATCAGTTAATACCTGTATAGTGTACATGTATGGACACAAATTTTTAAGATTTTTGAAAAAAAATCTTAAGCATGACACAGGTACATGTATGCGAACCATGCCCGCTGCAATGGGACACAATGGGAGTCTGCAAATATGGCTGTTGAAATTAAACATATAGAATAACCATACATTGTCATTTTACAACGTAAAAATGCTGCGAACCTGTACTCTTTATTGACGTCATTAAAAAAACAGAAACACATTATCAACTTCACAAACAAGGTGATATACAGTCAATGACTATATCACAAATGAATATATGTTCAATGCAATTTGACTGTGCAAATAACATACGTGCAGCATAAATATGTATGACGAGAGTCTGAAAATCTTCATGATAATCACCTGCGAAATTTCTGGAATAGTCTTGGAATACATGGTATAAGCATAAAAAGCCGTATGTTAAAATGTAAAAAATATTTAAATCTTCATTGTAGATTTAATGGTCGAAAGAGATCAACAGAAGAGGAAGATCAGAAAGAGGATAGAAAAAATGAACAGAGTGAAATAACCAGATTAAAGACACTTACAGGCAAACAAAAGGTAGATTTAAATTTGAAATTGACGAAAAACAGTACACCTGATTTATGTTCCACCTAGTTGAGATAAAATTCTGTATTTTAGTAATTTGAATGGTTAGGCTATTAATTTTTCCTTTTGAATGACAAAAAGGGGTGAGAAACTGATATATATTAGAAAGATTTAAATCAATTAGATACTGATAAGGTACTCATTAGTTTTCACACCATAAGCTGATGATTTACATTGTAGCATCTGTTAAAATATAAATTTGAATGAATGAATAACTCCAGACAATCTGAAGACATAATAAACAGTTTTATGGGATGAAATCAGCAGGTTCGTTACATGTATCACCATTTGTGTGATTTTTATTCATCTAGACAAAGTTAAAAAAAAGAATAAAAAAAAGAAAAAATATTTTGACTCAAATTTCATTATGTATATATACACATAATGAAACACTACAAAGAAAAGATTATAACCTTCATAATATGCAGAGGAGTAAAGTGTATTTTTATTATTTCCAGAAGTTGGTGCTTACTTCTTTCATTTGAGCTGTATCTCTTTTAGGGAGGTAAACTTTTGTTAAGTTTAAATTAAGTATTATTAAATTAATGATGGTGGATTTGTTTCTAACATCCTAAAAATAACATGTATATCATGATTCATGAAGAAAACATGTGATATGAATTTAAATTCTGCTTTGCACAAGACCACCATGCTGAGCTGGAATATTTACTGTTCTAGTCAACAAGGAAACATTCGCAAGAAGACATGACATCCTACAAGGATATATTATTCCTACTCTGAGTTGACCAGTCTTTGCACCATTAAAAGCTGCATGCTTAGAGAAAAAAGTAGCAAATACCAATTTTCAAGTCTTTGGTTTGACTCAGTTGTGGATAGAACCAGCAAGTGCTTCTAGAGACCTTAATAGTAATTCCTTGTTTAAATTGTGCATGGGGAAAAACCATGAGAAAATACTCTCAGATGAGCCTTTAGATGAAAATATAATTCTTTGTATCAAATTAAGATATATATTTTCTATTCAGGAAAGAATTGCAAGTTTAGAAGCTTCATCTGGGAAAGAAAATGTTCTAAAAGGTAATTTTAACTGTTTTAAAGGGTCTGTACATGTTTGCGTTGTGAACTTCACCTTACGATTAGAGAGATTGAAAAGAAATTTACCCTGCAATTTTCAAGATTCTAATCAAAATTTAAAGATAGTATGGTTTAGTGGTTGCAAAATCAGCATACTAACATGCAGACTTCTCAAAGTAAGCAACAGTCTACATGAGCAGGCATGACAGGGGCATTATTAAATCACAACTTCACAACAGAGGCAAAAAATAAAAAAAGACATGCTTACATCTATATATATCTGTGAAATGAGATGGGTTCTTTCATACAATATCAGGTATATTTTAACGTCACAGTACTTAAATTTCACCCGTTTTGCCAAATAAGCTTTAGAAATCTTTGCCATTATATTTGTCTTTCCACATAGCTAAACATATTTAAAAATACAAAAATGGTCGCATTATATATCAGCAGATAATTTATCCAGAGGAAAAAAGTAAACTTGAAGGATATGTTGCATGCGACGTCCACAGAAAGTCACCTTTAAAAATGAGCAATTAAAATTTGTTACAGGCATCCATTTCTTCAAAATGCATAGTAAAACATGAACTATTGTCAAATTGTTCTAAAAATGTGGAGTAATAAAACAAAACCTTCGTTATACGATTTTTTTTACATTAAGCATGCATGTGATTTAGGTATTCCTTATTACAGAATCTTGGGTTGTTTGGAGGTCGGTTCAAACCCATTTTTCTATGATTCAGTATGGATTCAAAATTAAATTTGTGGAACTATATAGTAAACAAGGATACATTAACAAAATAAACACAGAATGGAAACTTTCATCTGTTTCGTAAAAAACATCAAAATAGGTGCTGTTTGGGTACCCTCGCATTACATCTAATATTAATGTTGTTCAAGAGATGACTTTGGTCCTTTAAATTTAAAAATAGCTTTTGATAAAAATCAATATAAAAATGAAAATTTATTAAGTCTTAAGTAAAAGAGATGTTGGTTATATGTAAATGAGACAGCAACCAAATGACAAAAAACCATCTAGAGTAGAGGGCAACATACAGTCATCATTAATAGAAAGATGACTATATAAATATTGAGCTCTGGTATTACAGAGTCCATAAAATTGTTTTTATTTTTAGACAAAATCAATCAAAGATCTGCCATCCACATCAACATCTCCAAATAACAACAACAAAAAACCATGAGGATTTGACATAAAAAAAGTGCCAATCTGCCTAAGAATCAGACAGTGGTGAAAACATGGTAAACAAAAACCCTCTCAAGTATACATCAATTCAATTTCAAAATGTATAATGGTGCATGAATATAACATTCGTTTCCTTGTCCTATTCTGGTATTTCAAGATATAATTTGGTTTAAATGCACTACAAGTTTACAATTGAGGGGTGCTAATTTTCTGTAATTCTAACCAAAAGGTATCTAGAGATTTCTCAAATTACCAGACATGCAGTAAAGAAAGACCTACCAGTTCTAACTCAGGATGAGGGTAACTTCAAAATAGGATGGCTAGTTCTCTGGGGTTTTTTTTCAGCCATATTTTGAAATTCTTCTAAATTGCCTGATTCTTACAAAGACTGGCACTTAATGAAAACTGACTTAGTATTTTTTTTTATTTTTATAATTAACAGATGAGATAAAAACATTAGAAGACAGATTACAGCAGACAGATGAAAAAATGTAAGAATACAATTAAATTTATTATGTGAACAAATTGTAGGGTTCAATTCTTTCATAGACGAGCAAGGAAAATCAATATCAGAATCAAATTTTGACCAATAACCAACTGAGAACTAAGGCCAAATATTAAGGACATGTTTCCTCCAATCTTCAATGGTTCTTAAACAAATATTTTTTCTCTTGAAATTCCTGTTGTTAACGAAGAAAAAAACCCAGCAAGTTGGAAAGTTCAAAAAGACAAAAACTATAAATTTTAGAAATACTACTATATTAAGGTTTCTGTTAAATTGTAACATACTTAAAGAAAACTTTGTATGATATCTTTTTACTATTCATATACTTTTAGGTATATATAACTGTAAAATCATGATATAAATATCTAAACTTGTTTCATCAATGTACCATCAGTAACTCAATAAATCTATCTTTTCTATAATTGATGTAAAACATTAAGATGTACCTAGGTCATCACTCCATTATCATGAAAAAACTTATCATAATTGCTTTCTTTTTCAGGGAATATTATGAAAAACAGTTACTGCTGTGTAACATAGATCCAGGTAACTTAATCATCTGCATCCTAAGGTCTTATAGGAAATAAGTTGTTTCTAGTAAATTGTAGAAAGTGAAAAAGTATGTGGTCGATAAGGAAGTTTTAGTTTTTGTTTTGCCAGTGACGAAGGTCACAGAATGAAAGAGGCAAGCCAGTTGCCAAAGTGGCCCAGCTGCAAGCTCTCTGTATGAAGCTTCCATAAGAACAAAGAGCTGGATAAACCATATCTTGTATACAGATACCTTATGGTCTGAAGTATTTATCTGGCATATGTCTGTTGTCCTTGACATTATTTTCATGGTTCAATGGCCACTAAAAAAAAATTTTTGTTTTCTTACATGATTTTTTTATTCAGTTATTTTTAATAATAGGACAACTGTATTTGTTGCTTCTATGTGATTTATTTATATTTGTTTTTTCTATTTTCAGTTTCACTGGAATCCTTAGATCCCTTACAAGAAACTAAAGGAGCTCTTTTGGAGATAGGGAATAGGACAAAGGTGAGTTAAATCTGAACTGGGCGAGTCTAGACAAGCTTTGTATGAATTCAGTGGAAAGGAATAGATCTGATATTAATATAAAAGTTTCAAATAAATGGGGAATGTGTCCATGGGACACAGATGATGCCCCCGCTTGCATATCATATAAAGTTATAAAGGGACATAGCTATAGAACTGTTAAAGTGACACCTCCAAAATTCAAACTTTATCTGTATTTTGTGGTAATAAGCATTGTGTATAAGTTTCATAACATTTGGTTGAGGCTAACTTAAGTAAGAGAACGGAAACGAAAAATTCAGCATTTTTTCCATTTGTAAAGGGGCATAACTCTTACAACAGTTAAAGTGACGCCACCAAAATTCAAACTTGATCTGTCTTTTGTGGTAATAAGCATTGTGTATAAGATTCATAACATTTGGTTGAGGCAAACTAAAGTTAGAGAAAAGAATTGTAAAATTCAGCAATTTTTCTATTTGTAAAGGGGCATAACTCTAAAACGGTTAAAGTGACGCCACCAAAGTTCAAACTTGATCTGTGTTTTGTGGTAATAAGCATTTTGTTTAAGTTTCATAACATTTGGTTGAGGCAAACTAAAGTTAAAGAAAGGAAACAAACTTAAGGACGTACGTACGTACGTACGTACAGACGTACAGACGGACAAGGGTAAAACTTAATGCCCCCTCCACTACGGCGGGGGCATAAAAATGGTCAAAATTAAAAGTGAACTATAACTATGTAATTATGACTTTTTTGGATTGATTGATTGTTGGATTGGTATTTAATGCCACTTTCAGCACTATTATGCTTTTTCGTGGCAGTCAGTTTTTATTGGTGGAGGAAGCTGGAGTGCCAAAAGAGAACCATGACCTTTGGTAGGAAAACTGACAATCCTAGCCAATTAAGGTTGGAGTCAAGTGCACCTGCCACATGCAGGAATCAAACTCACAACCTTGGAGTTGACAGGCTAGTGATACAGTATTATGACTACTTAGACCACTTGGCCACCGTTTTTGGATTCAGACCACTTAGAGCTTAACATATAGTATAGAAAATTGTTTATTGATAAAGATAGTATGTTGATATTTTGGTTTTGTGTTGTCTGGTTTCTGTCTCATTTGCATTTACACTCAACATCTTCTTTATTAGTTTTTGAAATAGAAGGCTCAATTTTTTTAAAGTTGGTAGTAAATTTTTTAAGTTTTTATTTGCAATTGAAGTTTGAAGAACATGGCTGTCAACTGTAAATTTGCTTATGTTTGTTATATTGTAATTACAAATTATATTAAAAAACTCTGTTTTAAATACTAGACTGTTTTATACTTAAAGGTAGAAGTGAATAAGTTAAAAGAAAGCATTGATGAAATGAACAACAAAACAAAACAAGTATTGATTGATTTGAAGGTAAGATAGTTTTAACATTATGGGAACTTTAGATTAATAAAACCTCTGATCAGATTGAATTAAACACAGAGTTTTAGTGGTAAGCACTATCAGAATCAACGTTCAAATTGCATTAAATTAAATTAGATTTTTAGATTTTTAATAATTTTTTGTGGAAATGGTATCAGTATGGAATAAAAATAGCCTTAGAACATGATTTGTTTTATTCTTTGTAATTTTTTATTTAAAAATGAGTTTTGCTGATTTGTAAAACTAATTATAAAGAGGTAAATTTTGAGAGTTCTATGAAGAAGAGAGTAACTCATCGCCGTGACTTAAATGTTCTGAAAAACAATTGTTGAATATAATTATCTCCCTTGTGTCATGTATTTTACTACAAATGTAAAGAATGTTTACTTTATCAAGCAAACTGGTCGGGAATAATCAGAAGTCCCCATTTACTGGTATATTTTCAAAACATTTAGTAGTAAATAGTGATTTCTGACTATTAGAGATTAATTTGTTTGCTAAAATATACAAGCTTGACAATATCTGTCTTAAGGAAAGCAAATAGAAAAATTCTGCAACCATGTCCAAACAAACCAGGTTTAATAAAGAAGGTGAGTGCACCGCACATAATTTCACTTGAATAAATCAAAAGTTATTGAAAAATACATGAAAAGGATATCAGGTATTACCAGAAATTATATTACTTGCCACTACAAGGGAACTAATTGAGTCATCATGAAAATTCAAATAAAATCTGAAACAAGTTTTTGTGTTCATGAAGTTGTGCAATGATCAGCTATTGTAAGATTTTCCTATTCGATTCTATTGAGCTGTGAATAATGTAAGTCACAGCCTGATGATCAAAATGAAATAAACCTTTTTTAAATTTCTTTCAGACAATTGGAGATGAATTGGATAACATATGTGCAGAAGATGAAATGGTGCCATCTTAGAAATGTGACTTATTGTTTTTGTTTTTATGCTTCATTAAACCAGTTTTATCATGCTGTCTGAATTTTTCTTCATTGTGTTATTAGGACTTTACTTGCAGTGCATGGCTATAGTTAAGTTATCAAACAGAATTTTCTCCCAGGGCATCTACCTTAAAAATTGTTCAATGTCCAGCAGGTAATGTTTCAACCATATTCATTATATGAGCATGTTATTGTGACACGAACCCCGATTTATACTAAACCAACATCTTGAGTCAGATTATTACCATGCTAGCTCACAAAGTATTCCTCAGGAAGATATGTTACCCGTCCTGAACACATTATTTAGACTCGGTTAGTCTGTGGCTCTTACTCTCATGCTCAGTGCTTAGCAGAGAAGCAGTAAATATCAGTTTTCCAAGTTCATGATGATATCCAGCTGTGGAATGATCCAATGACCACATTCTCAGTGTAGGCACACTATAAATAGACCACAATGGTACTTTTATCCAAAAATAAATCCTAAAGTTTCATCAAAATTGTACAGGGATAATTTTTGAAACATTGTGAACTTATTTGATACTCATTTGACTTGTTAACTTGATAATGGCCAAGATAAAAAAAATGTTCAGCTTGTCGTTTTGAGTGCACTCGGGGTTCACTGACATTAAACCTTAGAATGATCTTATGCAACTCTGAAGGCATACAAACACATATTCATGGTGAAGATATTTTTAAAGAAAAATTGAAAAACACTACTTTGGTATAAAAGCCAGATGTTGACCTTGAGTTGATTTTTGTCTCACCTGTGACAAAAGTCGCAGTATGCGAGACATAGGTATTACAATTGGCGCAACGTAAACTATTTGTATAAAGCTTTATATTTCAGAAGGTAGAAGACCTGGATGCTTCATATCTTCTATGCAGATACCTTATGTTACGAAGTTTCTGGTTTTCATATGTCCAATGTCCTTGAACTCATTTTCATGGTTCAGCGAATGCTTTAAAAAAAATTAGTTTTTTTGTCATGTGAATTTCTCACTTATTAGGAGTATTAGGATAACTATATTTGGTGTATCGGTTCCTTGCAACGTCTACATGTGGGTCAGACAGGGTTCATCTGACCTTGACCTCAATTCATGGATCAGTGATCAAGGTCAAAGTTACATGATTAGGTCCATTTCTCAAATAATATAAGCATTAGGTCAACTATATGTGGTGTATGGAATGACTGTAATGGGTCCGTGTCAATCTGGCAGTTTTTCATCTGACCTTGACCTCATTTTCATGGTTCATTGGTTAATGTTAAGTTTTTGTGTTGTGGTCTGTTTTTCAAGTACTATAAGCAATAGGTCAACTATACTTGGTGTATGGATTGACTGTAATGGGTTCATGGGTAAATGGCAGTCTGGCAGGTTTCATCTGACCTTGACCTCATTTTCATGGTTCATTGGTCAATGTTAAGTTTTTGTGTTTTGGTCTGTTTTTCAAGTACTATAAGCAATAGGTCAACTATATTTGGTGTATGGAATGGTTGTAAGGTGTATATGTCTGTCTGGCATGTATCATCTGACCTTACCTCATTTTCATTGTTCATTGGTCAATGTTATGTTTTTTTGTTTTGGTCTGTTTTTCAATTATCATTAGCAATAGGTCAACTAGATTTTGTGTATAAAGAAATTGTAAGGTGTATATGGCTGTCTAACTAGATTTATCTGACCTGTAATGCTTCTTGTAAAACCATTATCTTAAATCTTAATTTCAGCGTGGGCACTTTTGTTTTTTTATTGTGTTGTGTTATTGTCTCATAAGGGGACGACCATTTGATATTCTGGGGGGGGCCAGGAGGATTTGTTTTGGATCGGTTATTTATTTTTGTAAACTAAGAGGACAGATTATCTATTTTCTGCACTATTGAAGCAAGACTTTTCATTTTCATTAAAGCAAGGGACTGATTATTTATTTTCACAACTATATTTATAATATTCGAAAACATACAATTTTTAAATTATTTGTTTATTATAAATAATACATGTATTGTCAAGTCATTATGTACCATTTAATCAGAATTAATTATTATCCTCTGCAGAAATGAATCTTCTATATCCCCCAATGCATATACATGTATTGCAAACATACACAGTATTAAAGTTTGGTTGTAACTAAGGCTCTTTTAAAAGTATTGGCAAACATGTTTTGCCGAGCGGAGCGAGGCAAAATTTTTTTGGAAGGGTTTTTGAACCGCTGAAGGCCCAAGAAGCTATAGAACAAATGATGCAAAATCATGCTTTCTGGGTGTTCCCCAGACCCTTTCTTAAACTGAAAATGCAAGTTCTGTTTTAATAATTTTTTGACAATATTTTGGTCTCAAAGGAAAATCACGTTATAGATTCAGTGTAAGACTTAAGTTTCTAGGGACAACATCAAAAGACAAATATGTATGATAAAGCAATAATGTAATTCACATAGTTAAGTCTGTGGCTGCTGTGTTTTTTTAAACTCATGATCAAGTTAATAATAAAATTACTAAATTACAAAATGAATGCAACACTAACAGAATACAGAAGGGCAATCAATGAACAAAAGACAAATAAATAAGAAACATTGATCCCGAAAAATCAGGGGCTACATCTGAGGGAGAACAGAACTTGCTTCTTGCAAGGCACTCACGGTGAACACAATTTGATATGGAGACAAGCGTTTGGTTTTGAAATTTCCTACATGAGGCATTTGTCTCAATGTAGTTACGGCCCTGATTTAATAAAAGTGAGGTAAGTGTTCCTGAGACAATTAACCTCAAGTTAAATGAAACCAATTTTCTGACATTTCAAGTATATTTAAATAATATTTATACTTTTATTATTAAAAGATGTGGGAAGTGTTTCCCGATTTTTTTTTTTGGAAAAAAGATGAATTTATGAAGAATCTGGTGCCATCTCATACTTTCGATTAGACCTGCTGAGTTATTTATTTTCAATACATTGCAAGTCAGGTAATTTATTTTCAAACTACCACAGAACAAACCATTTATTTTTGTGATTATCAAGGCTGAGTTATTTATTTTCAAAATCCTCCTGGCCCCCCCCCCCCAGAAAATCAAATGGTCGTCCCCTAAGTACATATTATAAATGTACATTTCATTTTATTCATATTTACACGTATTTTGATATTGGATAAAAAGCTGATGGATATATAAGAATTTTAATTTATGATTGATTAGTATGACGTCCATTTTCATTGAACTAGTACTAGTACACATTTTTGTTTAGGGACCAGCTGAAGCCAGCCTCAGGTGCTGGATTTTCTCACTGTCTTGGAAGACAAAATGGTGGCCTTCTGCTGTTTTCTGCTCTTTTGTCAGGTTGTTGTCTCTTTGACACATTCCCCATTTACATTCTCAATTTTATTTGGTGAAAATCCAGTGGCAAACATTTCATGCACATTCAGATTATCTATAATACTATAATATAAAAGGAAGAAATTTGCCAGATTTTCAGGAAAACATGTGCCTAAAACTGAAAGAGATCCAGTTTAGATTATGCAGGTTGTCTTGCATATGCATATAAACTCTTCCAAGCATAAACCTTTTTTGTATTTATTTTTTCTTTGCAATTAAATTGAATTGATCTTAAATTACCGCAAGAATAAGAGTTAAAATTATTTTTTTAAAGAAAATAAACACATAAATTCAAAATTTTGTGAAATTATGAAATAGAAACTGTAAGAAAAACTTTTAGAGATCACTGATACTTTTTGTCTTGCTTCCACTATTTAGGTAGGTCTGGTGCTTAGATTTTTTTTTTCATTTTTAATACAAGAAATGTTTCCAACATTTATTTTAGCTGGGATTAGAGTCTAGAGATATATAATACAAAACCTGAGACTACTATTACACACATATGTTATAGTAGTCTCAGACAAAACTTGTCTTATGTCTATAATAATAATTAGTGTCCATAATTGTATTAACGTGTAAGTTAAAATAAAAAATTATGTTTTTTTTTTTTTTGTTTTTTTTTTTTTATATATCCTTTCATTTTTTATGTTCATATTACGTCAGATAATTTATTTGTAGACCCCGATAGTAAAATGGATTTAAAATTCTAGCGAAAATTCGAGAACCTGCAGGTTTTAACACGAAATTGGGTTATCTCCCTTTGCTTGAGTTCTCTAGACTTATCATCTATTCTTATCGATTTAGAAAATTCCGAAAGAGCGTTTCTTGGGAGCAAAAAGCTGACCGAATATTTGTTTTTGTAGCAGTCAAAAGAATGGGGTCCGAAAAGAAAGAAGATTTTAAAATAACAGAAGACGAGGTGAAGAAAATAGGAGAAGCGTTAAAAGATGAACAATTTAGGAAGTTATTTTTGGAATATGCCGAAGAAATCCAAAACCCTGAAAATCGAAAAATTTATGAACAAGAGATAGCACAAATGGAACAAGAACGTGGTATGAACGTAGAGTTTATCCACCCGCAGCCGGGTCATGTCTTGAAAACCAGCGTTGATGGTAACGTGAAAGCGTTCATCAATATCTGTCAGAATGACAAGATGGGTAAACCGGTTGCAAAACGTCAAGTTTCATCAGATGGCAAAAGTGGTGTTAATTGGTCGATACCTCACTCGCATTCACCTCCAAGAGATGATCTTGACAAACATAAACAAAAATGTAGAGTATATGATGTAGTATTTCACCCAGATACCTACAGAATGTCAAAGTCAAACATACGATTCAGAGGTCTTGTTGAAGACACAGCTATTGATGGTATTGAGCGGCAGTTTGGAGTGAAAGTTGACAGAAAGAATATCAAACGGCCTAATTTGCCATACAAAGGTACACCTACTGCCACTGTTATTCGTTCAAAAGCAAACGAACCAGCCAAACCACTGGATGAAGATGATCCAATAAGGAAAATGCCTTATCCATTTGATGAAAAATCAAGCGAAGAAAAGGCAAAAGAAATGGCTGATGCTGTTAAAAGGAAGAAAGAAGCAGAAAGTAAAAAAGCAGGGAAAACTAAAAGAAATGAAGCAGAAAAAATAGTTGAAGATGACGCTACAGTTCCTAAGTATACCATTACGCATAGATCTGACATGGATTTACAAGAGTACAGAAATACTCCTGATTCAAGGCCTAGTACCCGTCCAAAAGCTCTTGTCATTTCAATTGAATTACCTTTACTTTCTAATTCAAAGCCAGTGGAGCTTGATATATTTGAGCAAAAACTTGTACTTCAGTCTAAAGAACCAGCAAAATACAAGTTAGATTTAAAATTGCCATATGCTGTCGATGAAAGTCAGGGCTCAGCAAAGTTTGATAAATCAAATAGATGTTTAATAGTTACATTACCTGTTGTTCCAGAAGAGATGCCAAAACTACCAAATTTCATTGAAGAAACAAAATCTGAGAATGAGCCTAAGACTGATGAAGTGGAGAACAAGTTTGAGGCAGTTGAAAACCCTTTAATAGAAGTTATCAGCACAACAGAAGCTAATGGCAAGCCAGTCTCAAAGGGGGAGGAAACCATGATTGATGATAAGATTGGAAATGAATGCCCTGCATACTTAAATCATACACCAAAGATCTCATATGGATTTCCCACATTTGAATTTTCACAAGATAGTGAAACTGTAACATTCTTATTTAAAGTGAAAAAGATAGTCCATGATTCTGTGTCTAAATTGTTTCCGTTGCCCAATGTATGTCATATCAAATTCATGTCTAAAGGATCTAGTGGCTTCCCACTTCATTACAGCTTTCTTGCAAAGTTTTCGGCCAAAAACTGTTTTGTTCCAGAGCATTGTAGCTTTGATGTTTCTAATGATAATGCTGTGTTGTTACTCCTGAAAGAGAAAGACAGCAGACAAACATGGGAGACATTTCAAGCTGGTACCAGTCTTGAGGAGCTTCAGGTAATATTATTATCCATTCCTGTGCACTACAATGTTGAGAAAAACATGATATCCTCGATTATAACTGCATACCTATACAACAGAACAGTAAAATTTTATTTCTAGCAAAATTTAAGAGTTTTGTCCAAAGTAATTGTGTAAGCAGCTTAACTAGTTATTGGTATCACTTATTTTTAGGTGTCTGTCATACCTTTAAGCTTTTATGAAAAAAAATCTCCTTTGAAATTATTCTGCCAAGTAATGTCAAACATGCATTATCCTGTACTGGTATAACATGTACATGTACATACATTCATGTGATGGAAAATTCTTAACAAAATTTAAATATTTACATTGAAAAGTGTGTACTGAAAACATGAAAAAGGATAAAAGGAATTTTCAAAGATATTAGACAGTACATTATTGACCACCAGACATCATGAACCAACATCACTTGCCACTTCTGAAAAAATAAATAAAACATGGTAACAAAAAGCATGAAAAGTATTACAAACAACAACAAACATAATTCATACATGTGCAGGTACAATGTAGCCTGACTTGGAACAGACATGTAGGCAGTAGCTGACTATACTGGATGGGTTTTCCTCATTGTCGGAGGCCATACTGTGACCTATAATTGCTAACAACCATGTAATTTGGAATCTGTTTGGTACAACATGTACAATCGGCTTCTGTTTTTGCAACATTTAATGTTTAACTGAATATAATTTCAGTTTTACATATCATTGTGCTTATAAATAAGAGTTATCTTTGTTTTAAACCATTGCCATGACGTCAGCCTATTCATTTACCGTGGATTCTTTTTCTAGAATCAACGCTTCCTAAATCTGTCGCTGAAATGGACTCACCAAATCATATTCAATTGTTTCCGTTGTGTGCCTAATTTCATTAAATTCGAATTAGCTAATTTATTGATTTCTGTTCACTAATGGAATTAATTTAAAAACTTACCTTTAACTTTTGTAATTATTATATGCCTTCACTGGGAATCGAACCCCTTCTTGAAATCTGTTATGTGTGACTGACATCAACACATCGATGAAATCTATCGGCTACCAATGGGTTGCAATCTATACACAATGCTTATTACCACAATATACAGATCGAGTTTGAATTTTGGTGTGGTCACTTTTTACTGTTCTAGAGTTATGCCCTTTACAATTTTTTTTTTCTAAATATCAAGTAATTTTCAAAATTGGAGTTATCTTCCTTTGTACATGATTATAGTTGAATCAACTACAATCAATGCTTTATACAGTGCAATGTTTAATTTTGACTTCCACTGATAAATTAAAGCAATTTTACCCTTCATTCCTAGAAATATTTCAAAGTCTTCTTTGAAAATTGGAGTTATCTTTCTTTGTGCATAATGGCAGTTGAATCAACTACAACCAATGCTTTATACAATGCAATATTCAATTTTACTTCCTACTGAAGCAATCTTTACCATTCAGTGCTTATAAGCTGTTTGATTACCACTCTAGGGTATGCCCCTTTACAAATAAAAAAACTGCTGAATTTTTCGTTTCCATTCTCTAACTTTAGTTTGCCTCAACCAAATGTTATGAAACTTATACACAATGCTTATTACTACATAATACAGATTAAGTATGAAATTTGGTGGTGACATTTTTACCATTCTTGAGTTATGTCCCTTTATAAACATATAAATTGCTGAATTTTTTGTTTCCGTTCTCTAACTTTAGTTTGTCTGAACCAAATGTTAGAAAACTTATACACAACCGTTCTAGAATTGTGCGTATTTACAAATAGAAAAAATTGCTGAATTTTTAGTTTCTGTTCTCTACTTAAGTTAGCCTGAACCAAGTGTTATGAGACTTACACACAATGCTTATTAGCACAAAACTCAGATCAAGTTCAAATTTGGGTAGCATCACTTTTACCGTTCTTCAGTTATGTCCCTTTATAACTATATGAAATGCAAGCGGGGGGATCATCTGTGTCCACATTTATTTACATAAATTGTCATCCTGCCTTTTTATTTACTGAAAACTCCTGTCCTGTCTTTTTTTGCAAATTTCATCCTAGCTCTCCCCCCCAAAAATATCAAATGGTAGCTCCCTTATACATATATACAGGTAATCAGTTTTAGTAAGTATAAATTAATTTTTTGAATCCTATTGTCTGTCAATCCTGTTCATATCTAAAAGAATTTAAATCAGTTTGTAGGAGTTATGAGCATCTGTATTGGAATCTTCTGGATTTGCTATATTATCGTTACTTAAAACCATAATATATCTTCATAGAAACAATTTCCACATTTAAACAAAATCTTTTACTAATGATACTGGAAAGATCCTGAACAAATTTTCAGTTTTATGTGGACAAACCCAAGTAAGAAATGACCACCTCAAAGGAACATAAATAAAACCATACAATTATTACATGCATGCAGGTTCTCGGTCATCATCTTGCATACTAAAATCACATCATGCAGAAATGCACCTAATGTGGTCCTCTTATTTTCAGTTTTTGCTGCTATCCAAAATCAAATTTTGGAACTTATTATATCGGAATCATTTGGCAATCCTTCCAATCTTCCACTTCTTTATGTAAATCTCTCCAGCGTTGGAGCACACTCAACTAGCTGTGTTCCCTTATTGGATCATTTTTAAAAATGTTAATGTATTCATATGCATATAGAAGTTATTTCAAAGTTAAAATGTTGAAAGGAAATCCTCCAATGAAACGTTGCACATGCACAATTTTTTTTTACAGGAATGTTAATATTATATACACGAAGCACTCATAGTACGTTGGCCAGTATGTAGATTTGATATTAAATGTCTAGCTAAATAAAATCTATGAAAGGTCGGCACTGATTTAAAGTAGTGTCTCCTCCATGACAGTTGAACATTAAAACTCAATATTAAATAAGACACTGCTATTTTCAGTGTTTGGTACAGGTTGGCTGTCACTGTGCGCAACAGTTCAACATAGAAACCTATGGGGAAAAACCAGAGAACTCTTTTTTGTCAGAAAACACTGTCAAACATCCAAACATACTATCCACATTGATCTGTGTCCACACTTGTTATATATACTTAAAAATAAGTTCGAAAATGTCTTATTTTGTAAATTACGGATAATATTCAGATGCATAATAATTTAAAGACAGACGTGTTATATTATATCTGTATTTCTCTAACCAATTAATTGTGAACTTTAATGCATTACTTAAAACCATAATATATCTTCATAGAAACAATTTCCACATTTAAACAAAATCTTTTACTAATGATACTGGAAAGATCCTGAACAAATTTTCAGTTTTATGTGGACAAACCCAAGTAAGAAATGACCACCTCAAAGGAACATAAATAAAACCATACAATTATTACATGCATGCAGGTTCTCGGTCATCATCTTGCATACTAAAATCACATCATGCAGAAATGCACCTAATGTGGTCCTCTTATTTTCAGTTTTTGCTGCTATCCAAAATCAAATTTTGGAACTTATTATATCGGAATCATTTGGCAATCCTTCCAATCTTCCACTTCTTTATGTAAATCTCTCCAGCGTTGGAGCACACTCAACTAGCTGTGTTCCCTTATTGGATCATTTTTAAAAATGTTAATGTATTCATATGCATATAGAAGTTATTTCAAAGTTAAAATGTTGAAAGGAAATCCTCCAATGAAACGTTGCACATGCACAATTTTTTTTTACAGGAATGTTAATATTATATACACGAAGCACTCATAGTACGTTGGCCAGTATGTAGATTTGATATTAAATGTCTAGCTAAATAAAATCTATGAAAGGTCGGCACTGATTTAAAGTAGTGTCTCCTCCATGACAGTTGAACATTAAAACTCAATATTAAATAAGACACTGCTATTTTCAGTGTTTGGTACAGGTTGGCTGTCACTGTGCGCAACAGTTCAACATAGAAACCTATGGGGAAAAACCAGAGAACTCTTTTTTGTCAGAAAACACTGTCAAACATCCAAACATACTATCCACATTGATCTGTGTCCACACTTGTTATATATACTTAAAAATAAGTTCGAAAATGTCTTATTTTGTAAATTACGGATAATATTCAGATGCATAATAATTTAAAGACAGACGTGTTATATTATATCTGTATTTCTCTAACCAATTAATTGTGAACTTTAATGCATTGTTGAACATGATAACAGGCTTATTTATACTCACTTACAATACCTTCTAATTAAGAAAAGGCTTTAATTTTAAAAAGATATCAACACAATAGTTAAAGTTATAGATACAATAATAAGCGTTGATTCATGAAAAACAAACCATTTGCCCTCCAGGCTCATGGTTCCTTTTTCAAGAATCAACGCGTATTCATTGTATCTATAATACGTAATGCATGAAGCTCTTGTTTGTCATGCTATTATTTAGAAAAGGCATATGCCAGTAATGATAACTTGCAGACCTATTTCACCTATCTTTTAATGGAATTGCAGTCCCTTGACTTGAAAAATTTAAACAGATTGTACAGTTGCCTTTTGAAGTCACAAGGCATGACACACACAGAGGTGCTGTTTCCATAGGTGTAAACAACAGATAAAGGGAAACAACTAATGGGTGATGATATTTGGTATACAGTTGTATTAATTTAGGCACATCCCATTTCCATGGAGATTATTTAGCCCCTTCCCCACAGGCTCTCAGTCATGGTTTATTGACTCTAGGACTTTTGCATAGTTTACTTGTTAAGTACAATGTATTGCCATTTTAATGTCAACATTGTTTTGTAATGCCTGCAGATTTTGAGCTCATTTTTGGTAGTTAAATGTACAAAACTGATGTTATAAAAACAATGGTATTCTTAATATACCAAATTTAAGTCTGAGAGAACATGATTTATTTATTAGTTGTAATTGGCTTTGAACTAGCTTCCAGCAACAACTTGTACTCTCATGTTGATACTTTATGTTATTTTCTATATGTTATAGAAATAAGAAGATTTGGTATGAGTGCCAGTGAGACAACTCTCCATCCAAGTCACAATGTGTAAAAAGTAAACAATTATAGGTCAAAGTTACATAGATATAAGAAGATGTGGTATGAGTGCCAATGAGACAATTCTCCATCCAAGTCAAAATTTATAAAAGTAAACCAATATAGATGTATATTAGTTGATTTTTATTCGTATATTGGTATGATGTTGGGGTCTTCGTCGTCATTGTTGTCCGAAGACACATTGGTTTTCGCACAATAACTTTAGTTTAAGTGAATGGATCTCTATGAAATTTTACCATAAGGTTCAATACTACAAAAGGAAGGTTGGGATTGATTTTGGGGGTTATGGTACCAACAGTTAAGGAAAAAGGGGCCAAAAATAAGCATTTTTCTAGTTTCCAGACGACAATAACTTGTGGAACAGTGTATGGATCTCTCTGAAATTATACCACAAGTGTCCATACCACAAAGGGATGGTTAGGATTTGCTTTGGGGGGTTATGGCTCAAACTGTTTAGGAATTAGGGGCAAAAAAGGGGGAAAAACAAGGGTGTCCTGGTTAATGGACAAATACTTTAGTACAAAACATAATTTAAAGCAGTGTTAGGGAGGTAATTCAAATACATCATTAATACACAACAGCATAGTGTATTGCACAAAAGCCAAAAAAAAAAAGGGGGGGTAAATTTTTTATTTTTTTTTTGTGGGGGGAGGGGGGGTCAATTCTCAACACCAAAGTGTATTGCACAAAAGCAAAAAATTGAATATAAATTCAAATCATATAACCAATTCTAAGTTCTTTGACTACAGTTATTCTGTGTCAGAAACCTTTTATGTGTCAAATATTTAATTACAATCCACATTCAGACCTGTATCAAGCGTGAATATTGCATCCATTTTTGCCCCAACTGTTCAGGGTTGGACCTCTGCGGTCGTATCCAGCTGCGCTCGGCGAAGCAATTTATTGTGTTTGCAAATCTGATGATTCAAGCCATCTCCAACTAAATTATACAGATTGTTTTTATAAGCCAGTTAACAGGACTTTTTATGCCAGTATACCGTGTCTGTCTGTCCCTCCGTCCATCTGTCGTCAACATGTCGTACAATAACTCAAAACACTGCTTCAACCAATTTTTCATGAAACTTTGGTGAATTGTTTATATTGATGTAAGCTCCCTTTTGATTTTTATAAATTTAAAATTTTATGTTTCCAAGTTATGAGATTTTATTTATGAAAAAGGGTTGATTTTCCAGTTTTTAGACAATACCTAAAAAATGGTTTATATATAAAATATTAAGCTCCCTTTAGTTTTTTATAAATTTCTGATAGGACATTGAGGAATTATGGAACTTTATTCGTTGAAAAAGACGATTGGTGTATCATGCGCTCATGGTGCAGCTCTTTATTATGCTTTGCTGCGACACCACTGTCCCAGGTTATGTGTGGAGGTTGGGTTAGTTGGGTTGAACGTTCACAAACATGTTTAACGCTGTGATGTTCTTCAAGTAAGGAGCCTTTAAATTAGAGGTTGTCATGTGTAATTACTGTCTGTCATTTTTGTTTTTCGTTTATTGTTTTGTTATAAATCGAGCCATTGGTTTTCTCTTGTTAAATGTTTAAGGCCTTAGTAGATTGACTTTGCACATTGTTTAAATGTTAAAGGCTTTCGTCCATGTTATTTGGTGGATAGTAGTCTCATTGGAAATCATACCTTCATATTGATGATATCTAACATTTATATACAAAAAATAACTACTGTTTTCTTCTGTTCGTTGTGTCCTGACAGTGATCACCTCTGTAGTCTGTTAATCCACAATTTCTTGAGGTACATTGTACACCTAACCTGTGTATGATGAATACTGGGAAATGTACATTTAACATTTGTGCTTCAGGCAGGTGCACCCTTGTCATACCTACTGTGTACTACACATCTTGTTTTCATTAAAAACATCTTTTGAGGAAAAGCTACCTTCCTGAAAATGAAATGGTGTCCTAGGCCTACACTATTATAATACAGGTGTATCACTATCATTAAAAAAAGTCCTGATTTACCATTATTTATGACCAGACCTTCATTCATCTGTTACCAGTTATGTCTATTTTTTTATTCAAATAAAGTAAGTTTAGATTGTGTTAGGTATGAAAACATATCAACACCCTCTATTTGGGAAAAAAAACCCAATATTTTTTTTTTTGGGGGGGGGGGGGGGAGGGGGGCAACAATCTGCTTTTAAATTGTTCTTTTATTTTCAGTTGATGGGATACATGTACTTAAATTATTTAAGGCAAAAAAAGTACAGTTGCTTTTCCTGTCTCTTCATCCACCTACATGTACCCTTGCACATCTTATTAAGGACAATTTTGGTTTAAGCATTGTCCAGACATTTCAGGTACTGGCTAAGTCCCTTCCCTATATATACATGTATAGTCAAAGTAAAAAAAAAACAAATTCTTACCTACCCTAATTTTTTTTTCATGAGGCAGGAAACAAGTACATATTTTTCTTTTGGCCTAATGGAAGGGGAACATAATGGCATCCCGAAATCTCCTTAATTTTAAGATTAAGGCTCCCCCTCCCCCTAAAAAAAAGAAAAAAATAACCTGGAAACAATTTAGCAAAAACAAATAGTGCAAAATGGTTTGTGCTAATATATTAAACAATCAGTTGTAGAGGGCAATCCTGTATAATTGATGAAAAATTAACATTTTTTTCAGTCCTATCAGCCTAGGACTAAGATAAACTGTATTTACAACTAAATATTTGTTTGACCTAAATAAGAAGCTTTTTCACCTTGACCTTCTATATCCATGTGTTAATAACCCAGGTAAGAGCAAGCATTTGTTGTATTTTGCAAAATATAAAAAATAGAATTATTGCATTTCCATGACAACCTTTTGTGATAGTAAAGACTTATTTATTGCATGCATGTGCACCATTGGTCTTGACTGTCATTTGAGGAAAATTATTGCTAAACTAGATTTTACAAAGGAGGAAGTCGGGCAATGTAAATTTCATCAGCTGAGATATATATATATATATCTATTGATTCGAACGATTTCCCAGAAATTCTCCACATGATTTGCTATTTCTGAGAGTGCACTGCTGGATGTAAGATTTTTTTTGCAGTTATTATTTAAACAAATTAGTTGCACATTATTTAGATTTTAAATGAATATTTTATTGATTTATTTGTTGTCCTCACAGATAATTCTCACATCTACTTAGAAGTGTTAGATGTATGAATCACTTATTTTCACTTTCACACATTAGCTGAAAGTAAGGAACATCATTAGAACAAGCCAGTCAAGCAAACATTCATCAGAAATGGAAAAAAGATAGTTGCATCTGAGAGTATTTTTAATTATAATTGGTGTAGAAAAGTAGTTTGTAGATATGCCAGTACATTTTTGTACATGAATTAGTTTCATAATTTGACATTAGGAAGTATTTGTAAATCTTTACCATTTTGATATTTCAGGAGCTCCAGTTTGAAACAGAGAGGACATTGCTGGAAGAGCTAGAAAGAATAGAAACTGAGTGTGTGACGGGCATTGATAACAGTTTACTGGAAGAGAAATCGATTGAGGTTACAGAGATGACAAGAAAAAAGTTATCAATTAAAATTCAGGTATAGTACATATTCTTTTAGCTTTTGCAAATAGGTTGTCAGTATTTCCAATTAAAATTTAAAAAAAAAATACATTGTTTAATACTCATGGATAATTTGCAAAGTCAGAAGAAAGTATATTTTATTTCAGTGGAGTTTTCAGATCCATGTCATTTCAACAAAATTTATGTACAATGCATAGAAACAGTTGAAGGTTGTTTTTTTTTTACTTCAAAAACTGGTGGTACATTATTAGATTTTTTAGCATTTCATTTTTCACAACACATTTTTCACAACACAATGTAAAACTTTCAGTTACTAAAATTTATACCATATGAAGGTATAATTGTTTTGACCTATCTGTCATCGTCATCATGTATGGTTAGCACCTTCATTTCTTGTTCTCTCTCTCCCAAATTTGAAGTGTTCATTTTGTCAAAGATAGTGAGTGAGATTACATGTATGTATCAGAAAAATCCTATATGATGAACATTTTTGGAAGAGATTTGTAGACCAGCATGAATATCATATAATGTGTAACCTGGATAGTAGTCGGATGTTGTTCTTACTCTCTGGTGGTCTTTTCTTGACTTGCTGTTGAGCCACATCCCCATAAAGTCACAAAAAGATTGTCATATAAATCAAAAAAATTCTTGATAGCGGTTTTATCTTAATTTTTTTGCAGAGGTTACGGTCATATTTGAAAGAAGGATTATATAACAAAAATGACATAACCAATTTTAACCTTTCTTGTCAAAAAATTTTGAAAGCCTCAGATAGGCATTGAAATAAGTTGTACTATGCATTCCAGATACTTCAAAGAAGTAACATGCATGATGAGAAATAAACATTGCACAAATCTAGTGTGAAAAAAGACTGGAAAATTATACAAGATTTTGTTCATTCATTGAATATACATGTATATGTTTAGAATGGCACTATAACCACTTTTGTACTGCTTTATAAATAGGTTAAACCTTTTATCTATACCTTTTCACACAATGGAGTCAATTTGGCATGACTTTAATTGACATTTTTTGAAAGTGACAAAAAATTTTACATAGTAATTTAGTTCCTCTTTGCTTTTACTTTAGTATTGTAGTTGCTTGAAACTAGATATGTCTGGATTTAATTGATTTTATTGAATAAGTATCTCTGATGTGTGAGAAAAATAACCTGTCATTGATTTTGCATTGTAAAGTGATAATCATGTTTACGTATTGTTATCGACTACTTATTTTTATCCTTCAATATATATTCCAGGTAAATATTTTATACCTATGTGATATTGATAATTAATTCTAACGTATAAGAGTCCATAACTGTTGTAAGCAATCCAAATATTGGCGAATTAGTGAACAAAAAGTTAATTTGTCTGTAAAAAGATTGTAGAAACATTTGAACATCTGTGTTGACACAGCATGTTACTTGACACATCACTATATATAAAGTAACCTATTTGTAATATCTTGAGTTTTTCTAAGAAGTCTTATCAGTAATGTTATTCAGATCGATTGTTTGATTGAATCCTTATCAAATGCTTGATGATTTCCCTTGGTATAAACTTCAGAAATATTCAATAATTTTGTTATAGCTATATGCAAATATTCCTTATTATTTCAGAATAAAAACAGTAACTCAAGCATGATTCCATCTTTATTTTTTTGGTTCAACATATATATACCTTTTAGAAAATAGGGTCAAAACCCAAGGTCAGAGGTCAGAGCCGTGTACTTGGCTTTCTCTATTAATAAAAAATGGCCATCACTATATAGCCAAGAGTGCTAAAAGTGGTGTTAAACTCCCATCAATCAATCAATATTAATGAGATTCCAGTAGACTACCATTCTGTATTAAATTTTAAAAACATCTGACTTGTGTGATTTCTAAGAGTTTTGAAATTGAAAAAAAAAAACATGTATAAAATTATTACAAGAAGAGATTGAAAATCAGTAATCTAAAGTGCAATATACAATAAAATATGATACATGTTAGAAGTTAAATAAGAACAACTTTGAATAGAAAGTAAACATATTGAAACAATAACAGGTGTTGCAGATGACTCCTCTTTCATATTTCATTTTTGCCGAGCCTGCGACTTTTGTCGCAGAAAGCTCGACATAGGGATAGTGATCCGGCGGCGGTGGCGTTAGCTAACTTCTTAAAAGCTTTATATTATAGAAGGTGGAAGACCTGGATGCTTCATACTTTGTATATAGATGCCTCATGTTACGAAGTTTCCGTCAGTCACATGTCCAATGTCCTTGACCTCATTTTCATGGTTCAGTGACTACTTGAAAAAAAAGTTCAGATTTTTTGGAATGTTAAATTCTCTCTTATTATGAGTAATAGGATAACTATATTTGGTATGTGCGTACCTTTCAAGGTCCTCATGCCTGTCAGACAGTTTTCACTTGACCTCGACCTCATTTCACGGATCAGTGAACCAGGTTAAGTTTTCGTGGTCAAGTCCATATCTCAGATACTATAAGCAATAGGTCTACTATATTTGGTGTATGCAATGATAGTAAGGTGTACATGTCCAACTGGCAGGTGTCATCTGACCTTGACCTCATTTTCATGGTTCAGTGGTCATAGTTTAGTTTTTGTGTTTTGGTCTGTTTTTCTAATACTGTATGCAATAGGTCAACTGTATTTGGTGTATGGAAATATTTTAAGATGTTCATGTCAGTCTGGCAAGTTTTATTTGACCTTGACCTCATTTTCACAGTTCATTGCTCAATGTTAAGTTTTTGTGTTTTGGTCTGTTTTTCGAATACTGTATGCAGTAGGTCAACTATATTTGGTGTATGGAAATATTTTACGATGTACATGTCAGTCTTGCATGTTGTATTCGACCTTGACCTCATTTTCAAGGTTCATTGCTAAATGTTAAGTTTTTGTGTTTTGGTCTGTTTTCCTAATACTGTATGCAGTGGGTCAACTATATTTGGTGTATGGAAATATTTAATGATGGACATGTCAGTCTGGCAGGTTTTATTCGACCTTGACCTCATTTTCATGGTTCATTGCTTTTGTTAAGTTTTTGTGTTTTGGTCTGTTTTTCTTACACTTTAAGCAATAGGTCAACTATATTTGGTGTATGGAATGATTGTAAGGTGTGTATGTCTGTCTGGCAGGTATTATCTGACCTTCACCTCATTTTCATGGTTGATTGGTCAATGTTCAGTTTTCCTTGTTAACTTTTTTTCTTAGATACCTTAAGCAATAGGTCAACTATATTTGGAATGATTTTAATGTGTACATGTCTGTCTGGCAGGGTTCAAATGACCTTGACTTCATTTTCATGGTTCATTGGTCAATATAGAATTTCCATGGTTTGGTCTGTTTCTTTTATACTATAAGCAATAGGTCATCTATATTCTGTGTATGGAGGGATTGTATTAAAGGTGTACATGTATTTCTGGATTGGTTTATCTAACCTTGACCTCATTTTCTTGGATCATCAATGTTTATGTGATACTTGTAGTAAAACTTTATATGTAGGACTATCAACAATAAATCAATGGTCAGTATAGTAGGCGAGACATTTCAGCGTGTGCACTCTTGTCTTTGAAGCCCCTATTAAGACAAACTTATTGAGTTTTTCCCTGCTTGCTCAAAGATGGTTGGCTTCTGATGGTCGAAGATGAAAAATAAATAAAGGAAGAATGTGTCCATTGGACACTGATGCCCTTGCTTGTAAATATATGGCAAATGCAGCAATTTTTATGCCCGGGATGTAGGCAACGTGGCATTAAGTGTTACCGTTTACCGTCTTTCCATCCATCCCATTTTCGTGTCCGCACTCTAACTTAAGTTATCCTTATCCAAATTTTATGAAACTCATACACAATGCTAAAAACCAAAACTAGCAGACTGAGTTCAAATTTGGGCAGTGAGTCACTTACTGTTCTAGAGTTATACCCTTTTTTAACTTTTTAAAATTGCAAAGCTTGAGTGGGGGCATTCATGTCCTCGGACACATTCTTTTATTTCCATTTATAAAAGAATATAACTCGAGGATGGTTAAAGTGAAGCCACCCTAATTTGAACATAATCTGTGTTTGGTGTTTTAGATAAGCAAAGCATATAAGTTTCATAACATTTAGTTGGGGCAAATTAAATTTCGAGAACAGAAACCAATTTGGAGATGTACAGACAGATGTTCAAATGAATATGTGCACCAGCAGGGTACATTGGAATGCTGTACTTTTATTGCATTTGCTTTCTGTGATGTCCTGAATAATTGACTTAAAGATAACAAAATCTTGTCTTAGAACAACTAATACCATATTATTTATATGAAGAAAAAATTTAATTTCTCTAAAAAAATGTTTTATTGTAATATTGCAGAACAAGAAAAAAGCAGAAGATAGGCCAACAGAGAATACAAAACAGACTGGCGATCGAGAAGCTGATGATGAGTTTGAGGAGGAAGATGAGTGTCCTCTGTCTGCTGATATAGAGGTGGTTCACGAAAAAGTCATTCCTAATTTACATGGCATACTGAAACAAAGAACTATATCAGAATCTAGTGAAGATCCATGTTTGTCTGCTAGTAGCAGTGGTAGCCCAGAAAGTCCTAGAGATGAGTTTTTCAAAAAGTCTGTCAAATTCAATGATAGGGTGGATCAGGCCACGTTTAAATCTAAAGCAGCTGTTTCACAAATGACACAGGCCCTGAAGAGTAAACGTAGGCGGAACAGAAAGAAGGAAAAAAGAAGTCGTAAAAATAGCGGAAGCTCTGACGGAAGTAGTGATGAACATAGATTTTCAGATGATCATAGTGATCATAGCGATAAAAATGTAGAAATTATAGAGGAGTTGACAAATGAAGAGGTTGATGAGGAAAAGAATCATAGTCAGGAAGAGCAAGAATATATAGATTCTGCTGAAACTTGTGTTGGAGAGACTAATGTTGATCAGCTTGAATCAGATATTGGTAATGATTTGGTGCAGTCAGATCAAACAGTTGATCAGACCAACCCAATCAGTGATAATGCTAAACAGGAAAAACTTATCCAGAATATCAAGGAAAAATTGGCAGTTTCTGAAAAGGACGACAAATGTGATAGTGATGATGAACTGGACAATACTCCCAATGATGTTCATATCTCTGGAGACACAAAATTGAAAGAAGAAAATGGCAACGAAAATTTTTATAGTGAAAACGTGGAAGACCAAATAGAAAGAAATGAAGAGGAAAATACTATCAGCATTCCGTCTAGTATGATTAACAAGCCATCTGATTTAACGAACATTATCGGCGAAGGTGATTCTGTCATCAAAATTAAGGCAGCTGAGAAAACAAGTGGTGAAGATTCTGGTGTGGAATGTAGTGAAGGAAGTGGTGATAAGGGAGACAAGTCAGATGTGGAAACAGTACTCAGTTGGAATGATAATCTTGAGTCTCAGGACCATAGGACAGAATGTGCATTTCAGTTCTCTAATGCTATGATTTACGATCTCGATATTGACTAAAATTGTGTTCCAATGTGTAATGGTGTAATCAGGGGTTATTTTTCACTTGTTGATAACTTACTTGTTAATTTGTACAAACGATTTTTTAATTGAAATAATTTATATTTGTATAAAAGTATTAATACTTCAAATTTTGATATGAAACAGAAATTTATGAACATGCATGCTATTTTGAAAGAAAAGGGAAAAGAAAATGTTTGATTTGATTATTTTTGGTAGAAATTTTTAAGCATATATATCCATTATAAGGTAGTCATAATCACAATTAAATTCAAATGCCATCCAAATTTTGAATAAAATGTGAAGTACATGTTCCTCCTTTAGCAGTTGACTGTTGTAAATATGATACTGTAAGGTGTTAAAAGTAATGGGTCTTAAATCTTCAAGCAGGAGATCTAGAGGAACTGTTGTAGAAATTGACAAAATATCTGTAAAACAAAATCAACTTCATTGTTTGACGACAGCTGTGAACATTGCAAAAATGTTTGAATGACATATTCAAGATTATAAGCAAAATAAGAAACCATAAAAAGTAACATTCATTTGGACCTTCTTTTTCTTGTGTCTCACCAAATCTACAAATTGTTTGAAAAGAATAGTTTAAATGGCAACTCTCTAACTTTTATCCTTATCCTGTTTAAAAAAAGAAACGCTGTGTAGATCTCAGATATGTATGTATCTTTTTGTCAATTTGAGTGTTAAGTGGTTTGTGTAAAACTTGTGTTAGATGTAACATAAAATTGTAAAATGGTTGTGCAATGGAAATTCATTTTAAATTATTGAAAGCATTTTCCTTCATTAGTTATAAAAGTTATATAATGCTTGATTATCAGCATTCTTACCATGGTACAAACTTGGGAAAAGAATCTTGAAGACAGCATGTGGGAAAGAGCTTTTTTTTCATTTTTGTTGTAAAGCCTATATTTTCATTAGAGTTGCATTCAAATTGTGTTATTTCATGTATTTTACATTCTTAAAAGAATATAACACTTTTAAGTTAAATCTTAGTTCTTGCTAATTTACATGGACGAGAAACTAATCATAGCTTTTAAATATGCTAAAGACACAGATGTGGAATCTATGTAAACATTTTGTACAGTAAATTATACAAAGCAAATGGTTTATTTCCTTTTACAGACAAAAAGTTTAACAATCCTGTTGGTTGTATGATTGGCCGACTTTCAGATTTTTATACGACCGCAAACAAATTTTGTGGTCGTATATTGGTATGACGTTGGCGTCGTCGTCGTCCGGTGTCGTCGTCCGAAGACACATTGGTTTTCGCACTCTAACTTTAGTTTTAGTGAATGGATCTTTTTGAAATTTGACCATAAGTTTAAATACCACAAAAGGAAGGTTGGGATTGATTTTGGGGGTTATGGTACCAACAGTTAAGGAATTAGGGGCCAAAAATAAGCATTTTCTAGTTTCCAGACAATAACTGTGGAACGGTGTATGGATCTCTCTGAAATTATACTACAAGTTTCCATACCACAAAGGGATGGTTAGGATTTGCTTTGGGGGGTTATGGCTCAAACCGTTTAGGAATTAGGGGCAAAAAAGGGGGAAAAACAAGGTTGTCCTGGTTAATGGACAAATACTTTAGTACAAAACATAATTTAAAGCAGTGTAAGGGAGATAAATCAAATACATCATTGAAATTATCTCCCTTACACTGCTTTTAAATTATGTATAAAGTAATGGTTAATGAACAATAAAGATAATTTAAAACAGTGTAAGGGAGGTAATCCAAATACAACGTTTTGGTTACTTCCCTTACACTGCTTTTAAATTATGTTTAAAAAAATGCATATTTATAAAGGAAGACCAGTAAAAATATCTGCAAATGTTGCATCTTTTTTTTTTACAAAAAAATCCATATGAAAGATTTGACACTATATTTTTAATTCTATTATAAAATAGATTTAAGTTAGCACTATGGTAAATTTAAATGGGTAATTATGGTTGCCAACTCCATTGGAAATTTGAATTGAGATTATGACCATATCTTGAGGGAAAGAATTTTTTGGGGGAAAAAAGGGGGGGGGGGATAAAAAGAAATTGTGGGGGGTCAATTTTTTCTCATTTCAGATTTCAGAAATTAAAAAGAATTATTCTTCAAATATTTTTTTTTTTTCAAATTTCAAATATTGAAAAATTTCAAGAAGAAATCTTTAATTGCACAGTATGGCGCATTAGATTTGTAAAATCTTTGATCACATTTATTTATTTGTTATGCCGAATCTAACAGTGTATTTAGATTTTTAATTTTGGGTCCATTTTTCAAATTGGTCTACATTAAGGTCCAAAGGGTCCAAAATTAAACTTTGTTTGATTTTAGCAAAAATTGAATATATGAGGTTCTTTGATATGCTGAATCTAAACATGTATTTAGATTTTTGATTTTTGGCCCAGTTTTCAAGTTGGTCCAAATTGGGGTCCAAAATTAAACTTTGTTTGATTTCAACTAAAATTGAATATATGGGGTTCTTTGATATGCTGAATCTAACCATGTATTTATATCTTTTATTTGTGGACCCCGTTATCAAATTGGTTCATAATGAGGTCAAAAGGGTCCAAAATTAAACTTTGTTTGATTTCATCTAAAATTGAATTATTGGGGTTCTTTGATATTCCAAATCTAACCGTGTATTTATTTTTAATTTTGGGTCCTGTTTTTTAAATTGGTCTACATTAAGGTCCAAAGGGTCCAAAATTAAACTTAGTTTGATTTTAACAAAAATTGAATTCTTGGGGTTCTTTGATATGCTGAATCTAAACATGTGTTTAGATTTTTTGATTATGGGCCCAGTTTTCAAGTTGGTCCAAGATAGGGTCCAGTATTTAAACTTTGTTTGATTTTAACAAAAATTGAATATATGAGGTTCTTTGATATGCTGAATCTAAACATGTGTTTAGATTTTTGATTATGGGCCCAGTTTTCAAGTTGGTCCAAGTTGGGGTCCAAAATTAAACTTTTTTTGATTTCAACAAAAATTGAATATATGGGGTTCTTTGATATGCTGAATCTAATCATGAATTTAGATTTTTTATTTGTGGACCCCGCTATCAAATTGGTTCATATTGAGGTCAAAAGGGTCCAAAATTAAACTTTGTTTAATTTCATCAAAAATTGAATTATTGGGGTTCTTTGATATTCCAAATCTAACCGTATATTTAGATTTTTAATTTTAAGTCCTGTTTTTTAAATTGGTCTACATTAAGGTCCAAAGGGTCCAAAATTAAACTTAAGTTTGATTTTAGCAAAAATTGAATTCTTGGGGTTCTTTGATATGCTGAATCTAAACATGTGTTTAGATTTTTGATTATGGGCCCAGTTTTCAAGTTTGTCCAAGTTGGGGTCCAAAATTAAACTTTGTTTGATTTTAACAAAAATTGAATATATGGGGTTCTTTGATATGCTGAATCTAACCATGTATTTTGATTTTGGACATTGGACCATAATAGGTAAATTAAAAAAATTCAAGTTCTTAGACCACATTCTTTCTGTGTCAGAAACCTATGATGTGTCAAATATTTAAAAACAATCCAAATTCAGAGCTGTATCAAGCTTGAATGTTGTGTCCATACTTGCCCCAACTGTTCAGGGTTCGACCTCTGCGGTCGTATCAAGCTGCGCCCCAGCGAAGCATTTTATTTATACATGTATATCTAAATTTCAATTAATATAACATGAGCGATGATTTATTGGCGCTTACAGAATAATATGCAAGCATGCTCGTATGGTCTTGTGGATGCACAATGAATGGTTTCATTTATTCAAATTTTCAGGGAAAAAGCAGCAGTTTGGCATACATAGAAGTTTCCTAGCTTATCAGCATATCATCAGGATAAGTTATTTTCTGTGTTGGTTGTTCTACTCAAATGGTAATACCACAGTTCTTTATATTGGCTGATACATTTGAAATATTTTATATTTTTATATTTAGATGTAAGGAGGGGGTCATAAAGTATCAGTTGTGGTTAATAATTAAAATTAGAGATTACAAGTTGAAGTAAAAAGACTGTAAATAATGCAAGAAATGGTTCATTGAGATTCACAAAAAACAATTGGCTTCTTTTTGCTATTCACATTTGAATTAGAAAAGAGAAACATTGATTTATTTTACCATCTACATTTTCTTCACGACAAAAACATGTTTTTTAAGGGTTTTCATCATTAACAAGGTAACAAAGTTAAAGGTTCAAGTGTAGTGCAAAATTGTTCCAGCAGTGTTTACTGATCATGATGTCACAAGAAAAGTTTATACGTAAGTCATCCTATCTGTTGATACTGTTGAAATGGCTATTTACGTTATGAAAACAAATTATTTTTGATGTACAAGTTTGTATCAGGTATTGTTATTGTATAGTTTTTTTTTGTCATTGAAATAAATTTACAAATTGTAATTGATGTTTGCTTTAGTGCTTCATCTTGGCCTAATATTGATTGTATGATCCTTTGGGTAGTCTTCTCTTTGGCAATCAAACCAACCACATCTTATTTGACCCCTGCCTCAAATCGGTGCAGGGGACATAAAAATAATTGACATCTGTGCGTTTGTCCATCCAATCGTGTAATGCTCTCACATGTACAATACTTTCAATATTTTAATTAAATTTATGTATGAAAGATTTAAATCAGCAATGTCTCCAATGAGTTTGAAAAGCAGTGCCAATCAACTATTTATGAAGGAATTGTGTCCCTTAGAAATTGCATTGTATGTGGACTCAAGCCAATTTATATAAGCCATGTCAGAAACAAGTGCAAGTTGGAAAATAAGAATTGATCAATTCACAGGAGTTATCTCCCTTGAAAAATTTAAATTCTATATCAAATTGCATCGTCAGTGTTCTCAAAATAAAAATTATGATCATGATTCCCAATGAGAACTGTCCACTAAATTTTGAGACCAAAAGATATAGAATTTAGCAAATTACCTAGATTTCTTGCAAGGTTTAAAAATAAATTGTATAAACACTTAGTATTAATAATATCTTCGACTATTTTGATCAGTGATCAACTTCTTTTTAGCTTACCTGGCCCAAAAGGCTATTAGAGCGTTTACCATCACTTGGCTTCCTTCATCGTAATCTTTTAAAAAAAAATTTCTCTGAAACTACTGGGCCAAATGTTACCCAAACTTTAGTTAAGGTATTTAGTATTAATTTTTTATCTGCAGATATGATCCATCGATAAACATGGCTGATGTTGCTAAAAATAGAACATAGAGGTAAAATGCAGTTAGAGCAAACTTGACATGGATAAAATTATCAGCAGGTCATGGTCTAATAGACTTTTTTCACATGCTTAATATTTTGAAAAATCTTTCAATCTATTTTGGAGTTCTTTTCTCTGAAATGACAATTTTTAGGAAATTTCAAAGTTGTTGGTTTTTATCTCAAAAACTAAAGTAGTTAGAGAAATCTCAGGTAGAATTGACCAGCAGGTCGAATTGACCCCTTGTAGGATTTATTGCCCTTGAAAAACCAATTTTACTGATTTTTTGCAAAAACTATAATATGTATAGAGAAATTGTAAAAACAAAACTGTTCAGCAAAATAAGATCTACAAAGAAGTCAACTTTACCAAAATTGTCAATTGACTGCTTTTATGAGTTATTCCCCTTGATAGATGTTTAGTATCTATTTTTAACTGGGTTTTCCAAAGGAATTGGTGAAGTACAGCAGGTTGGTTGGTGGCTGCCAACAGATTTCATGTAAAAACTTATGAACCGTTCAACGCTTTTCAAATTTTAATATATTGATAATGATGACAAATGAAGGTTATATGAAATTTATTTCAAATCTTTATATCAGCAAGGTCTTGGAGACAAGTTTGATAATCAGCATTCTGACCCTTGGAAATAGAAATTATATAACACTGCATGATCTTATGCCTACATTTCTGGTAGGAGATTAATGAAAAAGTTTGCGTTCGTATAAAGTTATCATGTAGTCAGTGTCCGAAGACACATTCGGTTTCCTGACAATAACTTTAGTTTAAGTGAATGGATCTCTATGAAATTTTACCAGAAGGTTCAATACCACAAAAGGAGGTTGGGATTGATTTTGGGGGTTATGGTACCAACAGTTTATGAATTAGGGGCCAAAAACAAGCATTTTTGTAGTTACCGGACAATAACTTGTGTGTAAGTGTATTGATCTCTCTGAAATTGTACCACAAGGTTCCATATCACAAAGGGAAGGCTGGGATTGAGTAAAGGGGTATTTGCCCCAAACGTTCAGGAATTGGGGCAATAAAGGGGCCAAAAACAAGCATTTTTCTAGTTTCCAGACAATAACTTGAATTAAAATTTATGGAACTCTTCTGAAATTGTACATTTTTCCTGAAAAGAAAATAATCTTCAAAATTTCAAAAAAAATTAGGGGGGATTTTTTTGAAATTTTTTTTTTTGGGGGGGGGGGTTATACTTTTTTCTTCAAGATTTTTCTAAATTTCAAATTTTGTCAAAAAATATTTTTTGGGGGGATTTTTATTTTTCATAATTTTTTGTTTTTTTTCCCCAAAAAATTTCCATTTTTACATAGATTATTTCTGATTTATATATAAAAGCAACAAATACTGATATGGAAGGGGATACACACCAAACAGGGTGTGTAAATTATTATATAAAGTATTTTGCAATAGCAAGAAATCTTCAATTGAAAATAATACAAATCTTTTAACCAATTTCAATGGGATTAAATTAAGTCTTTAATTTTTGGGGGTTCTAACCTTGTATTACTATTTTGGATATTGGGCCTCATTTTTAAATTAGTCTACATTGAGGTCCAAAGGGTCCAAAATTAAACTTTGTTTGATTTCATCAAAAACTGAATTATTATACCCCACGCAACAAGTTGCGGAGGGTATAATGTTTTTGACCCGTCTGTCTGTCCGTCCGTCCTCCGTTAGTCCGTCAGTCCTGTTTCTTGTCATCGCAACTCCTCTCAAACCACACAACAGAATTTCACAAAACCTTTTTAGATAATAAGGACATACTATGTAGGAAATTACGATTCAATTCTTTTTCTAGGAGTTACGCCCCTTTGAACTTATTTACTTTAATGTACTACTGCAACAGTTTGTCATCGCAACTCCTCTCAAACCACACAACAGAATTTCATGAAACCTTTTCAGATACCGTAATAAGGACATACTACGTAGATGTGCATATCGACAGGAAATTACGATTCAATTTTTTTTCCAGGAGTTACGCCCCATTGCAATCTAATTAAAATTAAATCTCCGCACTTGCTCCTCGTTGTTTATATGTCGCGCGACATATAAACAACGAGGAGCAAGTGCGGAGATTTAATTTTAATTAGATTGAAAAAAAATCTGTCATTATTTAGAGAGAACTAGCAAGAAAGTAAGTCTGTTTCGATCGAAGCTCAGAAATACATTTATATCAACTAAACGTTAATATGGATGATGACTGTTTGTAGAAATTTTTGGAAAAAAAATAAATGAAATTAACATGCCAGTTTTAAAAACATAGATAAAGCAATATCAAGGATAGAATTTGAAGTGATCTTTACATTTCTTCTACATAAATGGACCTAAACAGCTCTGACCCAGAAACAATTGGTTTGTCAACAAATTATACAAAATTTTCCTCGTACGCAGATCAAAGTGTTTTTAGCTTTTATTTCGTGATAAAGTGTCGCATAGAGACATGATAACCTGGTTGTATAGGTGGGAAAGGAAGGGTTCATGTTCCCCAACTTCACAAAGCATATTTTTTTTATAAAAAAGATGCATAATTGAGTAGTACATCAAGGTTTTGTTTTTGTAAAAATAAATTGTATTCATGAGGCGTTCTTGCGTTCTAAATCTCATTTCATACCTGTGTCAATGTCAGAAAATTGGTGTGGGTTGCTAGAGTTAACTTATTTTAAAAGACAAGCGATTAGTTGTGTTTTCAAGAGACAGCAAGGAAAACGAATGAAAATATCAATGTACAGGGGAAAAAAGGTGTGTTGTTTTAGGAAGATGCAATTACAAATCAAATCGTTAATGTACATTCCCATGGCTATTCGTACGTGATCGATATGTTTTTTTGTTTAATGTCCAGTGGCAAATGTTTCATTGCTATTCAATACAAGTTCATTCTGACAGCAAATTTAATCCGTTCTATCGAAGTTTCAACCTCAACAAAGTCTTTATATATAGAACCAATTATCATCGATTGAACAATTTAACTAACAAACTTTTAAACCCACTAATTTTCAATTATGTAATCAATTAACAATTGCACAACTTTCAGTTTTGAAAGGTTTCGGTCTTTACGTTCGTGTACAGTGTAGATGACTAGAAATCATCATGCTTGAAAAATATACTATGGCATGGTATTTCTTAAATACCAAATGGGTAGTATGGTATTATCTATTTTTCGTTTCTTATAGGAAAGAGTAGTTCATACACAACGTCAATAATGATTCTATGAAGATTTTCTATTCCCACAGTAATTTACCTTTGTCGGACTATTGGGGTGTCGGACTAATGGGGTGTCGGACTAGTGGGGTGTCGGAATATCAGGGCGACCCCGTCCAAAATCACAAGGAGGTATTATATGACCAGATACATTTTGGTTTGTAAAATCTAGGTCACTGTTTTGTCAGAAATCTGTAAAAATTTCGGCAGACCTGACTTGCCAGTTAGGTTTCCCGAACACGACAAAGAAGTCACATTTACTTCCAGTCAACATGGGTGGGTTGCTGTTACTTCAAGGCAACAATTGAATGACAAAGTTTTGTCAATGTTCACCCCTCAAGGTCAAATTATATTTTTTTTAAATAGACTGAAATTGATTATTTTTAAGCAGGGATGGGAAATGTAAACCACGAAAGTATAATCACATTCAAGTATTTGTAGTTACACAAATCATATAAGAATTATTACGCATTAAATCCGTGCTTTGTGTTCAGAAATATAATATTCACATTTTATTATCAGTAAAATTAAAGTAGAAAAAATATCATTTATTGCATATGACTAGATGATGTTATTTCTGTTTATAAAGAATGTCAATGTATGCGAGGAGCATGGTTATGCAATAAAGAAACAAAATCTCGTCCTGTTGTAAGAGGAATATCAGGATGAAGGTGTACCACAATAAGTGTCTGTGCTAGCCACGGAGGCATCACTACTCCTATTTTTATTGTGCGATTGTTGATTGTCTTATATACGGGTATGTCAGCTTTCCATGTCGTCATGCAGCAAGGTACCTGAAAGAGATTGATGATTTGTGTTAGTAATTTATTTTGTTACCAGTTGGTTTTTTTAAAGTTGATGATTGAATTTGGGGTAAATTGCTAGAAACTGATAATTTTTAAACGGGAATTTAGGTGCAAGTCAGATATATATTTTAATAAAATTGAGAATGGAAATGGGGTATATGTCAAAGA